ATTTTATTATTTTCTTCTGCCTTGAATATTTGATCTATGATTTATTTGGATTATCGAGTTGACTTAATCTCTTCAACCATCCTAACAATGTTAACTATAAGATGAAATACTTGACTTTCAAATTTAGCAATCGCAGAGTATTGAAATGTAATAATGCTTTTGTTTTATATGTTTTTTTGTTAATATTACAAAAATACTGTGTACATAGACAGATACTCAAGTTTCATTTCCCTATAGAAACTTGTCTTTCAGTAGTATATCTCAAAATATATCTATATATCAAAACGTACGAGCAATCCGATTCGACGACGAGTATGTTATACTTATAAAACTCAGCGAGGAACGTGATCACGAAAAAAAAAAGAAAAAAAACTACTTTCAAACTTCTTTTAGAAGTTTTTTTACTGGATTTTGTGGTTGAAGAAAAATAATTTATAACAAAAATTCTTTTGAAATGATTGCTTTATCGAAATTATTAAAAAAAAAATATATTGTTACTGATACTTTTTGCATTATAGACTTTTATAAACAATTATATTACTTCCTAGATATTTATTATTTATCTCCTTTATTATAACAGTTTTATGTCACTTCCGTTCAAGTCAATAATAACACGAGAACGAGTTTTTTTTTTTTTTTAAATTAATATAACATTCTGTCCGCGTTATGATCAGTATCGGCATTGCATAACATCAAAATGTTTTATTGTTTAGAAAAATAAATGAAAAATTATTACACGAAAAGAAATAACAAGCTAATTTTCTTATATATTATTTTTATATGCCAAGGAATTGTAAAAAAAGTAGCTAAAAAAAAAATCTTCTAATTAATATTTGCAATTAAGAATGAAAACATGGATTTATATCATATTATAAAATGATAACATAAAAAATATTTAAAAATAAAAAGAATAATCTGACATGTAAATTATGACCACAAATTTTACACGACAAATATAATTTATAAGCTTAAACCAAAATAAAGAAAAATAATTTAAAAACCGGTTGTAACATGCATCTACCAAATGACTATCATTTTATTACGACTATAAATGAAGCTAAAATAAAGTCAGAATAACTCGAGTGATGATTGAGTGTACGAGAGATTACGTGTGTATTTGTGGGATCTTTTATGTCTTTTCATCGGATTTGATACAATCTTCAATAATTAAAGATTTAAATTTGAGATTTATTACAATTTTGCTGTACGATTATTGTATTACTGTACAAGACGTACTATTGTGACTATTTCATTATTTTATGATTGTAATAATGCTTGCTTGATAGATTCTCCAGGATTTCAATTCACGTAATATAATACAAAGATTACGGATGCAATATTTGTGAGAAAACCCGTCTTTATAGAGATGAAATTTTATTGATTGTATTTTTCAGGTAGTATTATTGGGAATTTATTTATTCATTAATATAAAAATTCAACAGCCTGATTGCAATAAAGAGAAAGAAAAAAAAAGAATGAAGATAAAATTTAATTACCTGAAATTTATTTAATCTAAAAAAAGATATAACAATAAAATTTAATTACATTTATATTTCACTTTAATAAAACAATAGTAGAGATGAAAAGTAATTTGATTTTTCCAATCTTATAAGTAAATGTGTGTATGTGTGTTTTTTTAAAAAAAAATGTGACAGCTAAATCTTTATTGAAAGAGGTAATAAAAAAAAAGGGAAATAAAAAATATCATAAGAAATCGTTTCTCTTAAAGATATCAAATGATTTTTTTTTTCAATTTTATTGTTACTTTTTACCGAGTTTTTTATATATATATTTCTTTTTGATACTAAGAGTCATCTCTTTTAGTCTAATTTTTTTTATCATTTCCCTCTTCACATTCACTGTTTCATTTGCGGAGAAAAGAAGCTTATGAAACGTAAGATCCCTTGTCACGACTGTGGCAGAGCCTCTGCCAGGTAAAGTTCGATATCATTTTTTTTAGTGTGATTATAACCGGTTTTTAACACCGGCAAATTTTGTTTTTTTTTTGTACATTTTATGAGGATTAATATTCTCATAAATAACCACACCATTTTTTGTTCATTTTTCTAATCATGAGGTTGGACTGATGATAATAAAGTGAGCGACTGGGATTTTAATCATTTACAAAAATTAAAATTTCATTTTTAACACAACCTCTTTTTTCATAGATATTTTTCTATAAGCACTGGGAAGTCTTTCATCAAAAGATAAGTCCTTTTATGATGTCCCTGATTTCTGAAACTCAGACGTTAAACATCTACAAATTTATTCAACTTTCCCTCTCTATAATATCACTTCACCCTACAAGCACAAATTCAACTACTTTTTGAGACCTTTTATTTATATTTACATTTATATTTGATCCATCCTTAAATAAGACTCATTTTTTCATTACAAATACTCTAACTAGAAATTTTCTTCTTTCTTACTCAAAAAAAATGACTGTAAATTGTTATTAACATTATAATAATGATAATAATAAGAATTTTCTTGAGAATAAAAAAAAATGGCGTTTTAAATTAAATAAAAGTATTGTAGAATTTTATATGAGAATAAAATTTCAGTTTTTTAGTTTCGATAAATACACAGACTTATATGCAAAGTTTGACTTTTGGATTGTACTGAAATTTGTCTGTACTGTCTAGTTTGCACAGACAAAATTCTATAGAAATTGATGGAAGTCTGTATCGTGTGGACCTACCATTAGGTACGTATTGAGAAGATCTTCTCCTACATCAGTAAAATTGGACAAAATCCATGAATCACAACCTTGGTACCTTTCTTGTCAGTAGGTCTAGACTTCTAAACCCCTTTCCATACCAATTATTGATAAATATTTAATCAATTACACTGCAAATCCGAGTATTTAGAAATTAAACACTTAAATTTTGGTGCATGAAATTCATCCACTTTCGTGAGAGTAAAAATTAAAAGCTATATTCATCCATTGTTCAATTTTATTGCAAGAAATTGATCGAAGAATTTTTTTTTTCATTTTACAAAAAGATTTTATTTAGAAAAAAGGTATTTTTCACCTTTTTATCGCTTATGCAGGAAAAACTATGAGAGATAGTGCAATAAAAATGCATAGGATCTCTTTTATAGAGCACAAAATTGAACTACACTGCAATATTATCAAAATGTAGTACCTAAAATTTAACTTTTGTTGAAATGAAATTTTCCGTATTTACAGTATGAAAGGGCGTTTTACAGTTCATTGGCCGTATGCTTTGACGGATTTATTATGTATAAAAAATAGAAATTGTCAAGTGATTTTAAAGTAACAGCTTGTAATAACTGGTTTATACTTTATGGAGATTCACAGATTAAATGGATTTATTAACCGTAGAATACCGCCGACAGTAAAGACATTTTTATTGTGCGACCGTGCGTGCGTGATTGAAAATTATGCACACTTATGCTTAGACACGTGCTATACTACGGGATAAGATTATGTAATACGTAATAGCTGTTCTAACGACGGAAAGCAGGACAGAAAAATCTCAACAAATATTAAGAGACAGGTAAATTATATGTGTAGTTGGATAAAAGCTTAAATTTTCTGCTCCAATTCTGTCTTCTTTTTCTCTTTTATGTATACTTTATAGTTCTTTTTTTTTAAATTATTTTATGTTGTGTTCTTTTAATTTTTATCAAAGGAAAATCAGCAGAAAATTCATAAACTAACTTTTATGTGGATTTTAAATTTAGTATAAGAAAATAAAAAAATTTAGAAAGAAATAAACTACTTATTTTCTCGATGATTAATTACTCTGTTGACGTTGAAATCGTACCATAAATGAACGAAGAATATTTTCTTTGGGACTTTGCCAAAAAAATTGATATAATTAACATTTATCGTGGGGGTAATTATTATTTTTTCCAAAACTAAACTCATACTCATGACAATAATTTAAAAAATATTCACTGAATTAAGAATATAATTTATTTATAAAATAACGTTTGTTATTTTTTAAAACTTAACTTACAAGAAAATCGAGTACTTTGAAAAAAATATTAAATAGCTCACGATAAAATTTTATTAAAAAATCAATTAATGATGAGAAATTAATTAAATCTGTTATGCTTGGCTTTTTATTTAATATTTAAATATTTCAGTTTACTTTTCACCATTTTATATTAATTTGTAATTAATACGTTTAATACTATAACTTGCGAATATGAAAATTATGTAAACGGAAGAAAATTTCCTGATGAGTCAAATGTACACAAGATTAGTGGTCAGAGATGCAAAGATTCACGATAAATTAATATCCGGTAGAAGTTTGCTCTTTATCTCGAATCAATCATAAAGCAATGGAATTTTACTAGAAATAATACTTGATATTGAAGAGAATAATATTTTAATTATTATAGATGAATGAAAATTTAATAAAAATCGTTATCAAATAATAAATATCTAGATTAATTTAAATATTTTAAAATTCAATAAGATTTTCATTTAAAAATAAATATTTCATCTTTATAATTAATTCAAAAGGAACGTTTAAATTATTGGATTGAAATTTTTCTAAATCATTATTTCATAAATTGGCTATTAATAAAAATAGCTTTCCTCAATTACAAGTAATGAAAAATAATTGCGAAGAAGCTATTAAAAATTTATGATAAAAACATCGAATAAGTATGACTATTTCCAGTTGATCTCACTGAGGTCGGAGATGAAATTAGCGGAAGCAAGGAGGAACTTATTTAATTTTTTTCCATCATATTTCTTGCCCACTAGAGTTCTTAAGCGGATTCCTGCAAAGGTCTCTTTAATGTCGTTTGAATTTAAAAAAGATCAACATTCACTTTTGCGTTTATAAGATTGCTCTAACGAGCTCTCAACTTTACATTTTGACATGCACATATACTTATATACTTCTTCTTTTATTATTAATATTTTATTTCTTCTTCTTTTTTTTTCTTTTTATTGGATAATTATTTACCAATTAATATAATTATTGATGATCAATAAAATTTATCAAGCCACTTACCCTGAACCGTTGTCGGACAGTGGAGATCCAAGATAGCCAAGCTTTCTTCTCCATGACTGATTAAATCTCTCACATAGCTTTTAATAATTCGTTAATTGTTATATGCTTGTTAGCAAACTGTTAATTGAAGTGTATTAATATCGAAAATATTTCATCTCGTGCAGTTAGTCTATTTCTGAAACAAATATTAAATAAAATAACACTTTAGTATATTTTTGCAGTCATATTGTTATTAATTTCATTTAGATTTATTTTAAAATCATATTTTTAGTGTTGTTTTCCATTTATTCCTATTTTTTTTTTTCTATACATTCTTTCGTCTATGTCACATATAAATAATCATACAATAAATTTCAATCTTATTGATAGTACTATGAATAATAATTCTATAGAATAAAATGAATTAAAATTTATAAAAATAGCTTTTGAATAATATTTTTTTTTTACACTGAAATAAAAAAAATATTTTTATTATTCATAAGGTTATATTTTATTTGTTTGTTAGTTTGACTAACATGTGGTTTTTATTAAAGTTTTAATTTTTAATTGAATTATTTTGTTATAAAAAAAATAGTAAAACAAGATGGTGTTATATTGTTCTTTGTGAAATGGAATTGGGATTTCGAAAATCAAAAGTTATTAAAAGTTGAAGAAAAAACGTTTAAAAGTGTCGTTTAGTGAAAAAGCTTTTTCATGGTTCGATTGAGTATCAAATGAAACAATTCATCTCCTTGAGTACTGATATATCTTTTCTTTTGTTTTGATACTAGGTATACCTAGTATATTGCTAGATTGAGAACCAGTAACCAATAGATGTGATTTCGTTTGTTTGCCTATTTTTTTTTTTATTTCTTTAAAATTACTTTGGTAAAAAGAAGTTTTGTTTTATTAAAACTGTCTAGAAATGATCTATAAAAAAAGTAAAAAAATTTTAAAGAAATCTTTTGAAGATGATGATTATTATTATTAAACTTGCTTGAAATAATTGCTTTATTAAAATATATTTTCTTAATTCTATAGTTAAAGAACAGTTAATATAAAAGACTAAAATTTGAGTTAAATTCAAAAAATAATTCTACAAATTTTCAATTAATTTTTGCTAATAAAGAAAAATGTTAATGCACTGAAAGCTCAAATATTTTCCTTTGCTTACCTAAGCTTCAGTGAAAGTCAATAAACTCCAAAAAACACCATACAAAAATAACCGCAAATTTCCTAAAGAAAATTCATCAGATAAGAATCATAATTATTTCCCAATTTCTCTAAACTTCAATTCCCGTTTACGTAAACATGTAGATAGTGAACTCGGGAGAATGTTGGGAATCTGAAGAAGAAGTGATCGAGTAAAGAGTTTGCTTGGGGTAAACATCGAAGGATCTTTAGCTCGTATATATATATATATATATATATATATAGTGGAGAATAGAAGAAGAGTGAGCGACGAAAAGTGCAGAAGTGTAACGACGAGGGATGAAACTGATGGTGAAACGAGACGAGAACTTCCCAGACGGTCAACGACAGTCGCGACGACGTTTTATATCGTCAGCAATTCGAGGTTGGTGCGTATATCTAGTAGCAAACATTTATCTCAAGGTCCTCTGTATTTTTATTTACAGCTTTCAAAAAATATGCAAAACATACTGAAATACGAATCTTACGTAACATTATCAGCTATTTTATATTATGTAGTAAAAGTTTTATTCAAATATTATACAAAACACAGCAAAAATGTTGCGAAATTATTATTATCGAAAGAAAAAAAACATCATCGATTCAATAATCATTGCACCAAAGGTTTCATGAATTAAAAATTTGCTAATTCAAGTGTCATACTGAAAGAAAAAAATTAACTGTGAATAAGTAATATTTTTTTTGATTAATAAAATTCAAATTTTGAATAATGATAATGAATTATTTTTTTAGTATTTCAATAGATTCAGTTCTGATGGTTCCTTAAAATAATTCATTGAAAAAATACTTTTAGTCCAATTAATATAGGAGGCTTTGCTCTATTTATAAGCACATTTTTTGTTCAATGGGCAATTTTTAATTTTCCAACATCAAAATATTCGCAATAACCTAAAGAACAAATGTGCCAAAAAGCGAAAGTGCGCCAATTTTTTATTTTATGATTTTTTTGCATTTTAGTGTTCATTCATTAGCATTTTTATACACATAAAAATTAAAAAACATACTTCTATGTAATAAATATATAAAAATTTAGCCAAGGCTAATTTGTATTGTGCTTAATTATTTTGAATGAAATTATCTGAGTATTGTTTCATTGTATTTATTATTTCTTTTAAAACCATGGTCCATCTCAGAAAGTAAGAATTAATTAACTCATCATAATCTCGAATCAAATATCAAAATACATTTCGTTAAATTTAATAAAATATTTTATTACGAATATTTCATATTTTTTTTATTGATTAAATTAATATTCATTTGTACAGCAAAAATTATTTTCTCAGTGCAGGATCGATTGCGCTCAAATTATTCCAACCGCAAATATTCCATTAATATGAATAAATAATATAATTAATTCCATCTATTAATATTTCTATTCATTCTTATTAATTCATTTTTCATAAAATAAAATCGATGCAATGGAATTCATGATGTCTGATGTAATTTCTGATTATGAGCATCAGAGTAATTGGAATATATACGATATGATAATTTGAAATACTTCATGCCAAATTACGAGTAATACGATGCCCATGAATTATTCCAACTCTCCATGGTTCCTACTCTGTTTCTATTTTTAAAGCATGTCCCTGTCGCTAACAAACGGCCACTTGTCAAGTTGCTGATGCAACTCACCGCAGCTGTACCTCGTTGGCAGAATCTTCCTACACATTCTGCTTGACACTATGCTAAATCTACCGTCAAGAATATTTAACAAAATCAACGTATTTTTGATCAACAAGTTCTCATCGTATCTATCGTTCGATTTCATCACAAAACATTAATTTAAACATACTTGAGAATAAAAGTTTAATTTATTTTCAAGTACATTCAACAAATTGGATTATTTGAATTTCCTTCAGTAAATTGCTAATGAAAATTCTTTATCGCTACTGAAAATTAATGAACCATGAACAAGAATTTATTTTATTTATTATCGATAATCATTTACTTTTTATTGGAGTGATAAATACTATTAATATATCAAAACTCATCATTTCACAAATTATTCATACATTTTTAATCCCAATATCTGTCATTTTTATTTGAAAGACATTTCGATTGTATTTGTTTTTATTTTTTATATAAAATTATTGCGTTGTAACAATGATTATTGTTTGATAAGTTACACAAATAAAAAAAAAAATATAAATAAATAATTTTATTTTATTTTCTGTGACATCTATGTACTTTTTTATGATGACTTAAAACAATAAACACGATTTTTTATTTGAACAAACATCTAGATAAGATTCATGAATTGAAATATTAGATAAATTTACATTTGTTATCAAAACAAATAATCGTTAGATATATATCATAAAGCGTCATGTTTGATGGAATTTTAATTCCATTAAAGCTTTTGGAATGAAATTTTTTTAAAAAGCTTCTTGACACTAAGCTGATTAATTTCAAACTATTTTTAACAGATCTCTCTATTGTTCAAAGAGTATATCAAAATTAAGTGATAAGAATACTATTTTATTCAAATGCAATGCAATAAATCTACATTTGATACGAATGAAAAGTTAAAAATTTTATGTAAGAAAACAATATTTTTGTACTTAATTTCTTTTTCTATGGTAATTGTTTTATTGTATTTTTATTTTACCTGTATTTCAGCAATAATTTCATGGCAATCATTGTATAATTTCACGCTGACCGAGTTGATTTATGGCTCATACATGTCGGATACAACATTTCATTTCAATTTGTTTGACGATTAAAATAGAGCTATATATTGACGCTCGTCAAAATTTAATTTCATTACTATACTATCGAGCAGATTTTATAAATTATAACTCCATTCACTTGGATTTAAAAATTTTCATATTGAACTGTATTTTACTTAGTTGTTGACACTTGGTAAGAAACTTTTCGATATAAATATCCTGACGAGTTATTATGATTGATGTTTATCTCCAGATAAGTGGACTTTTGATAAAAGACAAATTTTATCTCAAATACTTATTCACTTTGTACTGAAATTTAAAATTTTTTTCTCTTTATCACAACAGTAAGGAGAGCTTACTCTTGCTACTTCAAGTGCTTTCCAGATAGATCCATGCCTACTGTTAAAATGAGTGAAAATGCTGAGCCTATGTCAAATCCTTTCATGAGTGATTCTCTCTTTCTCTTTTTTTACTTTAAAAAAGTGTTGGATTTTCAAAATACCTAAGACTATTTTTATGTAAACTTCTTATAAACTTAGGTAGTCCCAAACCTCCACATCTCTAGTAGGAACAAAGATCAGGTCTTCCTTGTTAGCATTGGATCAATGTATTCAACCTAGGACCAATGTTGGCTCAAGAATAAATCAATCTTTGTTCCTACTACAGGGATACTTTCCCTTAATATTTTTTAACACTAAACTCTTCCTGTTTTAGCTTGCATCCTTATTCTCACTCAACAACCAACTTCTTGAGAGGATCTTCCCTTCGAAACAAGATCAGACCCAAGTCCTGATTGACTATCTAATAATTAAAGGCTTTATCGACTAAAACTTAAATTCAACCTTTGTAGAAATGTAGAAAAATTAACAGTTTATTTTAATTATTAATGCACACCTCATTTGAAAATATCAATGCATTCTCAGCTGACAATAAATAAATAACTCAATCTAATAACAATTAAAATACAAAAAAAATTTTCCTAAAGTACTGAATTATTTGTTTATAATTTTCTGATGACTTAAAAATTAGCTAATTACTCCAAAAAATCCCTACATTGATTTATTAATCATTGCATTAAATCTAATAGCCTGTTGAACACAATCACGTTCAACTTTATTGCTAGCATAAATAAGATTCCTCTCGTAAGAATTTATCGACCATTAATGAAAAATTTATTTTAACCTACAATGCATTCAACAATAAAATAATTTTTTATATAACATCGTAGATAAATATATTATTCATTTTATTAGCATGTTTCTTGGTTTATTATTATTCATTATATTAATAAAATAATCATTTGATAGATAAAAGAAAGGACATTTCATTTAAAAATTGATGGTACCATTCTTGTCTTGTGACAAAGTAAATTGAATAGAAACAAATAATGAGCTAAAAATTGTCAGAATATATTGATACATGAATAGTGAATGAAGAATTAATGAAAGGATAAAGAAAATAATGGTGATGTTGGTTGAATTAAGTCCAACTTTCTGTAGTGTTGTTTTTTTTTATGTGACAAACTAAATCGAATAATGAAGAGAATAAAAGAAAATAAGCAAGATGTATAAAAATATTTAAATCATGTTATCGATTTGAATCCATGAATAACAATCGGATTGAGTACACACTTCAAGTATTAACCACACTACTTACTTTTCAGATAAAAAATTGATTTAAAAAAATCTTACAACCTTCTGCAAATGATATTAATCAAAAAAAAAAAGGTAAAATATTTTTTTAAGAATAAAATTCACTCACCGAAACTTGTTTTATCCAAAAAATATCCACATAATAATCCAAATAGAATGTGAATCTTCAATCCTCTTCAATGCTCGAGTGATGTAAAATAGAGTTAACCTAAATTGAAAATATTAAATCACATTTTTATTATGTCACACTGAATTGAATTCAATTTCAATTAATTTTATCATAATAAAATAAAAAATTCCCTATAATATTTCTTGATTTTTCAAAATGTATTGAATTACCAACAAAAAACTATAGACATTAAATATTTCTCTCTTTCTTATGTTTTTCATTTTTATTTACAATTCACCTTTTTTTCACCATTCAACTTAATTATTCCCAGTATGTACGGTCATATGCAAATGCAAAAGTGATGTTTTAACACACGTTCCATTACTTCTTTACTTTTTGTTATGTTCCATTCATTAGAAAAGCATCTGAGTACTAAGCTTAGCTGTAACCAAGTACGTGTTACATAGGAAAATTACATTGATCCCCTCATCGTTTGTTTGAGCACGTGTACAAACGATTTTAAGATTCAGCCAACATTCTTCAACTCTTCGATCATTTTCGAGAAAAATGTACTTTTTTTTTTATTCCTTGATTTTGTTTATTCCGTGACTAGTCAAATTCTCGAGAGTAAATAACCATTTTAGCCACCAATTTCTATGATAATGGAATAAAACTGCGTGTAACTTAATCTTCCAAATACCACCGAGTGCCAGCCAATTGAAATGACGATATAAATAAAATATAAATAATCTCATCTCAACATTATAATACCAATATCCTTTTATTTTTTTAATTAAATCGAAAAGTAACTTACGTGCTCAATACACTAGTATACTGGAATGTGGAATAATAAAATGAATGGAAGAGAAAGAGATAAATAAAAAGAAATTTCCAAAACTCAAAGATAAAAAAAAGAAGAAAGAGAAAAAAAAGGAGTAAAAATTGCTTGAGCTTAATTCAACCAATTTGAATTTCATTTGCCAACTAGCAGAGTATTGGTAACCCCAGAATTTCACTGCATACCGTCAGTAATCACGCGATTTCTACTCACTCTTTATTATCATGCACAGATTGAGAGACCCCAAGAGCACGCGATTTTTTTAACACAAGACTAGTGGAATAACGAAACGAGACAAACTTGTTTCTAATGATGAAGCAAAAAAGCAATACACGAGAGTGCACGTGGTCAGACAGGCGCTGTGATTAGGCGCAGCAATACGACACACCAAGCACGAGAGCTCGTTGCTCACTGCCAGTTTCTTGGTTGCTTCGTAAAACCTCCAACTCTCCCCCTCTATATGTTATCTCCTCCCACCCTTAAAAAAGTTGGGCTGCAGTTGGGGGATGCTTCATTACCTTTGTACTCTACGATGAAATTCTTAGCATTTATTATTGTGATAATGTATATTTCGTTGTCGCTTTTAATCTCCTCTGTCCTCATGTCATTTGAATTAATTACTTCAATCAGTCGCAACTTGCAACTAGAGAGAGAGTTAATTTAATAAGGCGTGGCATTCCTGAAAAAAAAGAAGAAATTATTAAATATCTACAAGCTTATTTTAAAAATAAATAGAACAGAAATCTAAGTTAAATTATTTTTCTGTAAGTAATATAAAAGTTAATTGTAAAAATTAAGAAAGTAATTTTTTAAAACATGTTGAACTACATTTATTTAATTGATGCAATTTTTTTTTTAATTTTATGAAATTATTGAAATTAACAGAAATAGCTTCAAGTAATGAAATAAAATTTATTTTTAATTATTCAATGAGTTATATAAGAAAATATTATAAATTTAAAAATATCAATAAATAGTATTGATAATTTGTAATTGACGATAAAAACTTTTTTAATAGGTAAATTATTTATAATTACACTTTCAAGTAGACATACATAACTTATCATGCCAGTGGAAAAAAAATATAGAAAATTGTTTTGTCCTTTCTGAGAGACGTAAATTTATTTTGAAATTTTTCAAAAGAGCTTTCTGAGCCACTTGATTTTTATCATATAAATGTGCTCAGCAAATATTAAGTTAAGGTCCAAATCTAGTGGAATTTGAAACGGTTCGACGAAATTTCATTGTTTGCTAAAGTACGTCTGCATACCAAACAGTTTGTCCTTGCTCTCGTGGCCACGCACGTACCTCCATGGTTACAATTACTTTTGACAAACAATTTTTTTTCACCACATTTATATTCTCCTCTTTCTTTATCAATTTAATTAAAACTAATTCTCGAGCATGCCTACACTGATAAAAACCTGTCACTCCTGAATGAAAAGCACTCTATTTACAGTAGAAAAATGTCAACATATAAAATAAAAAACTTAAGAGTCAAAGCACAATTGAAAAAAAATTAAAAAAAATTTTTTTATTGATTTGTATTTACACAAAAAAAAATCTATTTATTACAAAAAAATTTGGTTACCTAATTTTTAGAACATAGTAAAATTTTTTTTCCTCTCCAGAAATCTTCACAAATGTCAAGTTGACAAAAAAAAATACTTGAATTGCATATGAAAATCCATATAGCTTAGTGAACTAAGGTATATAACTGGTAATTTAAATTTAATGCAGCTTCAACCGCTTTCAATGAGTTTCCTAGTGATTTTTATCGTGAGATTGCAACTTGAAGGGACCAACGTTGAAGCAAAGAAGTACCTAAGTGCCTTTCTGGCGTGATGTATGTAAAAGAGTTGCGATACCATCGAAAATACATTTTCTTTTCATCTACAAAGTAAAAGTACCATTCATCTGATATCTCTTAGTGTTTCAACAGCTAGAAGAAAAATGTCCAATGATTACTATTAGTTCTAGCAGTTTTTACTACAAGAACAATTTACTATTTTACTTTCGAACGAAACTTTTCACTCAATAACACTAATTACATTTAAGTTAATTCTTCTAAGGAAATTAAAAAACCTATTGTCAATGTTTTTATTTCAAATCATTCCAAAGCAATGAAAGAAATATTGGCATGAATTAAAGGGTCATTTTAGAATCCACATTATTTGTCAGTTGATTCATCAGAGTTACTTCAAAATGACAAAAACTAAAAAATATTCTAGTTGGAATGAGTTTGTACTAACTTTGTATTCTATAGATATATGTATATATTTTCATTTTATCTTGAAAATCTAAATCTTTCAGAACTTTTATAAAATGACATTGTAAAGTTTCCTTCAGCTGAGCTTTTTGAAGCTTTACAAGAAGAAACTTACTGTCAAGTTATTATAAATTAGTTACTTAAAATACTATTATATTTGACATTACTTATAATAATAATAATCAACATCTATTATTTAAGTAGTTATTGAAATTACTCATTACATATTTATGCTAAAAATTAACAATAGACCATTTTTTATGAATGATAAAAATAAAATATGACAACAATATCACATTAAATAGTAATATCCAATATTCACGTGTACAATATCTTATCTCTATTGACAGAAGTGACTTTTCCGAAAAAATAAAATTCTTGTAATGGTTTTATCAGCTCATAAAACAGCAAATATGAGTTATCAATGGTCCTTATCAGTTTAAAAGCAGTAATACTTTATACAAGATTGTAAGTACACTAAGGGTCATTACTCTCCTTGAAATAGAGACTTAAGAAGAGACTGGAAAATGTAGATATCATGTGCACGGAATGCAGTAATTATTCCTCAAGTACTTCTCTAGCAGTACTCAAGATCATTTAATACATATATAATGATTAATTCATTCTCTTTTTCTTTTCTCTTCCTTATTGCCACCAGTTTATGAGTATTAGATTAAAAGTATAATTATATTGTACTCTGTATTAATGAATGATAATTTTATTATAGTTTTTTTTCTCATGTTCTCATTTTATAGTAATTATGTTATTTTTTTCATTGATAAAAACAGCTTCATTTAATTAATAATTGACTATTACACTTGTCTCTTATTAAAGAAAGCTTAATAATTATTATTGTATTAATATTTGACTTCATTTAATGACAAGAATAATTTAAAATTGATAAAAAATTAAAATTTGTGTATTTTGCATTTAAATAGTTTTGATAAAGAAGATTACGGTGAAGTTTATTCTATTTTCGAAAGATAGATGGCACTAGTTACTGGACAAAAAACTTGACATAATTATCAACATTTCAGAGTAGAAATGGCGTTTCATGCAATTGTTCTTTTTTACGTCAAAAATTGTTTTCAATGAACAATCTAATATAAACTAGTTTCACAGAAAAATGTTAAATATTATTAAATATTGAGAATAAGTTTTAAAAAAGTTTTAATCTTAAAAAAATGGAAAAAACTGTCATATATTTATAATTAAGTTTGAAAAAGAAATTTATTAAATTTATTTATAATTTTCAAGTATTTGAACTTTCTAATGGAGCTTTTTTATTATTGTGTGCTCTTGTGAATCATTAATAACCACATTGGTGTATAATTAAATTTTATCTTAATACATCCACGATGATAATCAAATATTTATCAACACCTGATTTACGCAATAACTTTTCGTTACTAAACATCAATAGTAGATCTATTTAAGGTTACTACTCGATTCAATATTCAAATAACGGAAAATTGTGGATTATAAAATACGAAAATGGGTTCGGAGCAGAGTTCTCAAGGCTCAGGAGCACAGAGATCTCAATCAGGACCGAGGGCAGGACAATTAAGAAGAGGAAAAAGTGTTCCAAGTCGAGAGAGATTACCTGATGATACTCCACGATCATCAAGCCCAGGACCCTAGTATTTGTTCTGACTCTGATCTACCTTACATATCCTACACAGTTAATCAACCAATCGGAGATTCTCCTAAAACCTCTAACAAGCAACACTTGATTCGAGGAAAAAGCGTTGGCAGTTCAGATGTAACCAGAAGAAAATCAAGCTTAGGCCTTAGAAAATCAACCTCAAATAAAGCTCATAATATCGTTATTGTTAAACCAGCTATCTCAGATCCTGATACTGATAAAGATCCTGACTTAGTTAAACTACAACGTATTCCTATGTTTCTACCAATCATGAGAGGAACGTTAAACCTTCCTCCAGGAGTTAGAGATCCTGAAATTTTAGAAAGATTGGATCCTATTGGATTATTTAATTTGTGTGCCAGATATCAACATCATCTCAACGCTAATGCCCAAATGATTGCTGCTGAACAAACAGCACTCTGTGTAAATATTGATGCTGAGGTTAATAAGATAATGGCACAAGCTGTTGAGAGACAAAAAAAATTTGCCAAGTTTGCTGAACATATGAATAAAGTACATGAACTCAGTAAACAGTTAACGAAGTGTCATATGCAATTGAATCAAACACTTGAAAGCCTTGAGACTTTGAATAATATGTTGCCTATCAAAGACCGATTGGAACCTTTTGTATGGACAACTGGATAAATTAAATGCACTTAGCTACAAAAATTTAACACTCACCAGTTTATCCACAACTCTGTCAACTGAGCTCACCTCAACAGCTAAATTATTTTGTATTTATATTGTGTTTGCTGTGCCTATATTGTAAAAAGTATATTCCAATTAATATTGAAAAAAATTATGTTTTGAGTGTCAGAAATATATATTTAATTTTTATTCAATGATCTACGAGCCTTCATTAATTTATATGCTTCAATAACACTAGTTTGTTGGCTTTCCAACATTCTTCTTTCTGCTGACGGTAATTTTTTTCTTTTGACTGTTTTGTCTAAAGGCAGTGATTTAGATTTAGAAGTGTCAGTATTTTTATGCTTGAAAAGTGAATTGAGAAGTAAATTCTTTTGCGCTGGCTGAAAATAAAAATAATTCATTACAGTGATTAATAAAATATATTTTCATCAAATAAATAATATGAATATTTACTTTTATTAACTTGTCTGCTTTAACTGGTTTTACTTTCAAATTCGGAGGCTCATGAACTACTTCTCCAAATTTTATTGTTTCTTTCTTATCTAGTTCATCCACTTTTTCTTCTAATTTTTTCTCTTTTTTCAATTGTAATTTTAGTTTTCTTTTTTCCACCTTCGTTAACTTAGGTTCTTCTAACTTTTTCTTTTTTTTTCTCTTCCCTATATTTTTGTGTTTCATTTTTAACTTTGCTAATTCATCGATTTCATCTTTAGGCCTCTTCTCTAAACCTTCAATTTCTCCGGTTTCTATATTTCTCTTCACTTGTACATCATATTTATTTTCAAACGTAGATTCGCTTAGAAAATTCTGAGTTTCTCTATTTACACGATTCCAAAAGACATACATTGATTCACCGGGTTTTTGATTGAATAGAGGAACAACTTTTTCTGGTTTATAGTTGGGGTCCAATTTCGTTGATTTTTGTGGTCCTAAAGTGATTAATTTATTTGTTCCTTTATTTTTCTTCTTCTTTTTAACTTCTGATATTTTTCCTGTTTTAACTTCATTTTTTAATTTAATGAGTTTTTCTAAACTTTTAGGAATTTCTTGATCATCAATATTTTTTGGAGGTGCATTTATTTTTGTACTTAACCTAAAAAAAATATGATAAACAAATCATTCAATAAAATGTATGTTTTTAATTTAGGAGATGAGAAATTATTTTGAAAAGGATTACGTACTGTGCCCATCGTTCAGCATGTTGTTTTTCACGATCTTTAATACCTCGGTGTTTTTTTCCAGGTATTTTTCGACCCATTTCGGAAACGTCGTAATTCCAAAACACAACTATTCAAAACACACGTGTACAGAGAGGAACACAAGCGCCATCTGACGGAATCGATCGGAAAAAAATCAAATGCTAAAAATTACGTCAAAATATAATTATGATTATTTCTAAAAAATTGGAAAAATGAGACCTAAAATAAGGCTAAAATATATTCAGAAAATTAAAAAAAAGGATATTTGAAATTTATTTTGATAAACTTTAAAATGAAGATTAATCTATATTTAGCAAATAATTAATATATTTTTTTGATTTAGATAAATACAAATTTTTCTATAATAATAACTAGATGAAGTAATTCACAATTAAGATAAATTACTAGAATTTAATGAATTTCAATTCTTCTGTTATTCATTTACCTGCCTTAGCCATTCATTTTGTTTTGGTAACAATAATATTATAAACTATTATTCTTATATGTATAATATGAATTATGCTTATTTTAAATATTATAATTCATTGATTTAATTGATCGGATCTGATTTAATTTATCAATGATTTTGAGTAGTATTTGCTTTTTGTGATTCACTATTATTATGTCTTGCACTGTTCATCATTGATTCCACTTTGTTCGCAGTTTCTCTTACTACATCTGATATTTCATCAGGTAAATAATCTAATGTCGTAATATGTGCTGATAATCGTTTATACATTGAATCTCTTTGACCATCTTTCTTATTTTTTCTCTGTTCTTCAAACTTTAATTGTTGTCGGTAATGAATTGCATTCTTTAAATATTCGAGAGTATTACTAAAATTTTTCTCAGCTCTTTGCATTGTTTTTATGGCACTAACAGCATATTCTGCATCATAGCAATGTCCTTGGAGTTGTCGTTGAAGTGCAATGACTTCCACACGTTTTTCCACCATTGGAGGTAAAGCTTTTCGCACATGTTCTTGTAAACGATAGAATGCTAAAGAAGGCTCATTAGCAACAATGTGCATATTTTCTGATATCCTTTCAGTAGCTAAAACATTGAATAAAAATTATTATGATTATTTACAAAAAAATAAATGAATATAATAATAATCATGAAAATAAGTTAAGAAATGATAACTCTTTTTTATATTTTATTATTTTATGTGTGATGAAGAGTTTTTAATGACAAACATAAATTAAATATTACAAACTAACCTTTTTTAACCTTCGTTTCAAGCTCTTGATCTGGCTGATATACTTTAGCATTCATTTTTATTCAATATTCCTAAAACTACTAATTAAATTTATTTAATTATTTCTTAAATAATAATTAACATTCTTTTAAATGTAATATCTGGCACCAGCTTTCATTTATAAACACAAATAACAGCTGATCGTCACTGATCACAGCTGATCTTGACAGAACCATGTAATCGATAACTGATAACATAAAAAACAATGTTCTTTTAGAAAGAAATGAATAATATAAACTTTTAAAAATGTAGAAAAATATTTCATATCAAATCTTTCTATCTATTATTACCTTTTGAAAGGAATCCTTTTGTTTGAACCAATTAATTATTTTTTTATTCGTCATTTTTGTGGAAAAGTTATACATACTTCGCGCCAATGAGAATGTTTGAACCGGAATTTATGATTTCATCATGAACCGGAAAGTGTGCGTGGTTCAAGTAGGATGGTTCTGCGGGAAACGTGGCACTGAACAGAGCGCTGTTGGCATGTTTAACAAACCCGCTTGATCGGTCAACTAGTCGGCTGTTCTATTTACCTCATGTAAGGTTCTTCAACATCTTGCAGGTAATTATCACAAAATATCAATTAATTGTGTCAATTACACTTCATTAAGATCTAAAATATCGTTGTACATATTAATTTATTTATAAATAATATGAAATACTTCAACATTTAAAGATTTTTACGTAAATATTTATACTTGAATACTCTCTTTTTTACTACCGTCAACACTGAATTTACTTTTCTTTTTTGATAACATTAGTGAAATGTATCACAACTATTTATGATAATTATCTATTTGTTTTATTTATAAATAATTTCTTTTTCAGAATGAAGACTCAAATATTTTACTTGGCCATTGCCACGTTATTGGTGACAATTTGTGCAGAAGAAGAGCCTGAAGCTGCCAAACTTTTAGTTTCAAAGCACATCCTCAACAAATACCTCGTAGAAAATATGGATATTATTGTTAAGGTAGAATAATTATGTCTAAGAATCATTTATTTAACTGTAAACTACGAAAAAATTGATAATTAATCCGTTACTCCAATAATACAATGGTGAAAAACTCTATTTTTAGTATACTGTGTACAACGTTGGTAACGTAGCAGCTTTGGAGGTAGAAATTACAGACAATTCATTCCACCCTGATCATTTTGCTCATGTCAGTGGTGAACTAAATGCACGAATTGATCGTGTACCTCCTAATAGCAATGTTAGCCATACAGTTGTCGTAAGACCTAGAAAATTCGGATATTTCAACTTTACATCTGCTGAAATTTTGTACCGAAGAACTGAAGATGCTCCAAGGCTCCAAGTTGCTGTGAGCAGTGCTCCTGGAGAAGGCCTTATTGTTTCATATAGAGATTATGCCAAGAAATTCTCATCTCATGTCGTAAGTTTTTCTAATAAAAATATCTCTTACATTGCTTATTAATTAGTTACTTCATGATAAAATAATAATTTCAATTATTTTTAGGTGGACTGGTTAGCTTTTGCAGTAATGACTTTACCTCCTTTGGCAATTCCTTTTGCACTATGGTACTCAAGCAAAAGTAAATACGAAAAATTATCGAAGACTTCAAAGAAACATTAAATTGATAGTAGAATAATTACCACAAATTATAAATAATACAGCAGTTGATGATAATGTTTGTCATAAAAATCTAAACGATCATCTTTTTTAACTGGCATGATTGTGATATGCGTGACTGTATGCTTGATTCTTTTTTTAAAAAAATAAAAATTTATTTATAACAAATTTAAATGGCTTATATTTTATTATTATTCGCCGTTAGGTATGTTTATCTTTCTTCCGATTATTATCATTAATAAATTTTTATTAAACGATGTAAAAATGTACAACAAAGTATATTGACATTTCATCTGACAATCGTACAACTTTGCTGTAAAGTTAAATCAGTCATTACAAATTCATTCACACTCGTCACTCTTATAATTTATTATTTATAGAGAAAAATTGTAATTTAAGTACTATGAACACGCGGTATACTATAATATCATAAGAAATGTTTTATTAGAAATAAGTAATTATTCATAAAATATATTGTATTATAATGTTCTGTATCATTTAGACTTTTTCAGTAAAATACATCACTTTATAAATATTAAAAATAAAATTTTTTCTAATACATATTTATTTACTCACGTTTTATTAAAAAAAAAATTGGTTAAATACAGTGGAAAATATATTCTGTCTAAAGTGATATATTTTATTGAAACTTATCGTAATTCTTATTCTCGAAAATGGAAGAAAATTTGTGCTCTATTGTTTTCATAAATCATAAAAAAAACTTAACAATATTTATGGTTGAGTACAAAAATATTTGTGTTCAATTGTTATTTTCGAAAAAAAAATACGAAAATTATTGAGTTATATAAAAAATATATCCCTAATTATGATAAATGAATGGCAACTAAAGAATGTTGATTAATCGTCAATTTTTTTATAATTATAACTGTTCAAATAATATTTGTAGTAATCTTAAATAATAACGAGAATTTTAATAACAAAACTGAGAGATATCACAAAAATTTTCAAAAATATTCTCCAATAGATTGATGCAAATTTTTTAAATATTTATGTATTTTAGAAGGATTTTTAATTCATTTAAATCTATGAAACGTTTATAAATGGCATCAAGTTTTAAGATTGATTTATATTAAATATTTATAGATTGAAGCAAGAATGTATACGAAAAAAAAAATTTTAGCATCAATCTATTATTTGATGAATTGTCACTAATTTATATTTATCAATTTATCACTCATTTGTAAAAAGTTATTTTAGTTATGGACTTTGAAAAGATATGTTTCGTCGCGCATTTGGAGTATAAAATCCACGAGGATCACCGTAAACAGGTTCAAAAGCAGAGAATGGCCTGAGAGGAGACTCAAGATTTTTTCGAGGACTAGATGAATTCATCGTATTATTGAGAGAAGTATCAAAAGAAGTAGGAGTGGATTGAGTTGGAGATTTCTTGAGAGGGGGTGGACATTTATCAGCAAAAATACTAGTATTTTTAACCGACAAATCCACACTAGCTATTTTATTTCTCCAAAGCCAGAACATTGTGACAACAATTATAGCAAAAGTAGTAATTGTATATCGATGAAAACATAAACATTCTATCCAATTGATTCCTGTTAATGACGTGTATTCATCATATCTTGACATTCTTATGAGTAAAGAAATATTTTGCTTTGTCACTTCATTCGTTAAGAAAATTTGCTGTCCTTGAATATCTTCTCTTTCTTGGATCAATCGTAAATCGATTTGCAGAATATTTGTCCCAATAAACTCGTATGAATGAATTATAATTCCTTCAGGAACTTGAAGAGAAACATGTTCTAAAACACTATGGAGACCATGAACTTGGAGAAGAGAATTAGCAATAGCTTGAGGAATATTTTGAACAAATACAATATCATTAGAAGCAATGTAAACTGGAGGTAGGTATGTAATTTCTAAAGAATTTCCTTCAATATCTCGGCTGTAAGCATTGACTTGAACTTTAACATCCAAAATACTTGAGATCATGGTCGGAACACCAATCGGGATGATATCGCAATAATAAAATCCAGAAATGATATCAAACCGTGGCTTTGTGATGAAAATGTCCTTAATATTCACAGAAGAAGTTAGAGGAATAAATTGAATACCGCAAGAAAATGGATAAGAATCAATTATAAATGAAGATCTCGTACGACAACCTCCAAAACCTCGTGCTAAGACATTGTTCTCTTTAATTCCTTCGTCTTTACTCTTCAAAACAAGCGGAACACTAAATACTTCCATTCCAGTAATATTTTTTCCTCTCAACAATACCAAAGATATTTTGGAAATTGGCTCAACATTAATTTCAATTTCGCCTTGTTTATGGCTCGTCAAACTATGCTTTACTGTAACCTTTCCAGGCTTCTTAGCTTTGCCAATACCAGTCAGAGGATCGACAGCTAAGATATCTGGATTGGACGACTGCCAAAAACCTGGATCACCCGTTTCTGATGATAATAGTGGCATAGAGAAGCAAACAACATCTCCAACAGTCAACATAGTGTTTGAAGGAAAGATTATATCACCAATAACCATATGAGCGTAATCAAATATTCCGTTAGGAAACTTTTCGCTGAAGATTTTAGCCACCAATTCACCATTTTCATGGAATTTTACATTTAACTGATTATTTAGGCTCTCAGAAAAAGTAATTAAATCTGCACGATTAGCGATTGTATTAAATTTCATATCAGCAGCATGAAACTTATTTCCGAGATTGTCGAAAAATTCCACAACATAATTTAATTCCATTTCTTTCGGTAAAATATTAAGCTCTTCACCTTCTCTGATTCTTACGTTAGAACTCAAAGACAGCATCATATAATGGACTGGTTTTACATCAACAACAACATTTATAGTTTGTTTTCTATTATAAGCCTCAACGTTTGTAATTGATAAAATAGTTCTTCCAATTGAATCTCCGGCTTTGATGATTCCATTTTTATCTACAGTGACAGATTTGGTGATAATTAGAGCATTTGGATCATCAGCGTCATAAGAATTTCCAGGTAAAATAACTTTGTAAGTTGAACTGCCATATTTATCTCGATTAGTTTTTAATTTTAAACTCGAGTTGGGTGTCATTAAAATAACAGGAGTGCCAGTAGTTATTACAGGATTAATGAGTGTCAGCTCTTCAATTATTTCCAATTTTATAAAGGTGCTAAAAGTAATATCACTCTGGGAGCCAGCCAAAACATTTGAAGGAATTGTCACATTTAAGTAAATCGTTGCCGTTCCTGCTTTCAATGCTTTTGCTCTCAAAGTAACTTCATTTTGGTACCTAATATTAATTCCAGTTCCTTCATACATATTATGAAGGTTCATCAAGTTAGGATTACTAGCAGTCCATGTAAAAACTAATAATGATTTTAACGATCCAATAATTAAAGGAGTCAATTGATCAGGAATTCCAAAAGCCCATAAAGGAACTGTTGCTCCAACTTTAATTCTAGTTGTTGGAGCCATAATTTTAATTCCTTGTAATTCTGTCACATAAATATCAACAACATCTTGAGAATAAATAACTTTCATGCCTTTTACATCAGGTCCGAGTGCTTTAGCTACTACTTTCGTGTGTCCTATAGCCTTTCCTTCCAGAATTCCTTTAGCATTTATCGCTACAATATTTCCATCATCAATAGTAAATTCTATCTGAGCATTCGTAGGCCCTCCAGTAGTTAATATTTGAAAAATAGTTCCAACTAAAATAGTCACATTCTTTTGAGTAACCTTCAGAGGTACAAAAACTTGGATTCCAACAGATTCACTTCGGATTTCTTGATCTTTAAACTGACTAATAAATGATAATCTTGATTCACCTTCTTCGACACCATGAATCATGTAAAGTATCCGAGAATATGGAGAATCACCTTGTTCATTAATCGGTAGTCTTTTAAGTTCAATAAATGAATTATCCGTTTCATATTTGAGATCGAATGATTCTAAGGATGGGAGTTGAATTAAATTACCATTTGTATCAAATAATCTCACTTCTGCTGAGATGCATTTGCCTTTTTCGATTTTATTTATACTGTTTACTTCGATAGCAGCCAATTGTTGGACTTCTATTTCTACTACAGCAGGTTCAGATTCTAGACAAAGATCCACAAGTGCTACTTTCAGAATTCCAGCTTTTTTTGGACTTATACTAATAGTTTTCGTTGGTTCGACATAATGCACATCTGCTATTTCATTAGTATTTAATATAAATTCATAGTAGCCTGATCCTTGGCTTACTTGAAGTGAGTATTTTGCATTTGGATCGTTTAACACCTTTATTTCATTTGGAGATATAATTGTATCGTTAACCAAAAGAATATTAATTTCTGTTGATATTTTTGGTGTAACCCACGTTCCCTTTTCTGTTAAAACAGGAAATGGGGGCCATTCTGGTGTTATTCGTAATTTTCCCAAAATATATTTTTGATATTCTGTAATTTTTGCGATCACTGTCAAAGACACAGCGTGTTTTTTCGGAATAATGTTTTGGAAATGGTCCTTAGGAAGGATCACATTAAAATCCGTAAAAGTTTCTTCAAGAACTCCGGACACTTCTTCAAATACTCCGCTTCCTGGAGGTTTTAGAGCCCATTCAACATTCAAACTTGTTATATTATCAAATTTTTTACCATCTTCATCTTTTACAGTCACAAGAAGACGCAAAGGCTGGTCAGTATGGGCCATAATTTTTTCTGCTTTATTTCCAATCGGACAATTTTTTCTATCTTTAAATTTTGGCTGAAGACTAATGTACCTTGGTTTTCCACAAATTACTTTAACAGTTGCAGTAGCACCTGTACTTCTACAATTTGGTAAAAGTGGTTCGTTGACAATTTTTAATGATAATATAACTTCTCCAAGAGCTTGACAAGTCACTTCGTATATTGAAACTTCAGAGTATTGGTTAACTTTGTCAATTTGAGCAACTCTAATAATTTCTTTCTCTGAAACTGAGACTTCTTTTATAAATCCATTATTTTTTCCAGCACGAGGCTGAGGACCACCTTTAAAAACAATTTTCCTAGATGATCCAACTGCTAAAAGTGTTTCAGCAGTTGCTGGATAAAGTGAAGATAGCGGTTCATAAGCCGAAACAGTCACATTATCCATAAGATATTGACCATTTACTTTGTATGCTACAGTAACACTAGAGGATCCAATATATCTTCCGGTAACTGTCAACGTAGCGCAAGAAATGCCAACTGGCTGGATGAATTCACTCGTTGTATTATGAACAAACTTATTGTCAGAAATATAAACTTCAAAAGGAATATCACGACAGTCAGTAAATGGAATTTCCTTGGCATCCAGTGTATTGTTTAGTCTACCATATAAAGCAACATATAAATGAATTGGTTCACCTGTAGCTGCATCCACATTATATTGAATGATTTCTAGTCGTGATGGCAACATTACGAAAATTTTGGCTTTATCATGATTATATTGATTACGAGCCATTGACACAGTTACATCAGTGGATCCTTGATTTAATATTCTTATAACTCCGTTTGGAGCCACTGTTGCAATTGATGGTGTTCTTGAATTCCAAACGTATGTACCATCACCTCCAGTAACCTTAAACGCAACGTCTGATCTACAAAAAGTATCGTAATTTTTATTTTATTTCACTGAATGTGGAGAATTAATTTATCGTTATAAAAGAGAAGATATAAATATTTATTGAGTTATAAGAGCTAATAAGCGTACCGAAATTTACTTGAAGGGTCCCAAGGCACTGCCATTATTTTTGGACTTACAACTACCGGTGTATGGATGACCAAATCAGCTTTAGCAATAAGTGGCGTTTCAAGAATGAATTTTTTCCCGTGGGCATCCGTTACTCCATTTATTTAGCTTCAATGGTTGTTGTTCCACAGATAATAGGCACTCCAACAATATAAGTTCCATTTTTGCTAATCATTTTAGTATCAATGTACTTTGCATCAATAGAAACTAATACTTCTACACCTTCACCAACATAAAATTTATGATCTTTACTGAAATATAAATATAAAATGTTTTTAAGTTACTCTCACATTTAAATTAATAAGGTAGATAAATATATTATTTTATATCATAAACTTACGCATCAAATAATTCAACAACAATTTCATGAGTTTCGCCAAGGATTAATCCTTTATTTCTATGGGGTAGTACCGTAATTGTAATATATTCGACAGAATTAACATGAACTGTAGCAGTTGGTAAAACAATTCCATACTCTTCATTAACATTTTTATCATGAAGCAATACTTTAGTCCTTCCATTGCACAAAGCATATGCTTGTCCATTTTGATCATCAATCTCTAAAATATCAGGATCTTCAGCTTCTAAATAATATTGACTAGATGCTAAATCTATTTCTTCGAGTCTTCCCTGATGGACTTGCATAATTTTGTACTTAAAATTGTCATAGGCCATCATTGTCACATCAGTAGGAAGAATAATTAGGTTGGCAACAACAATTAATTCTACTTCAACTGATGGAACATTTTGATACTCTAGATAAGGTAAAGTAGCTGATACTCGAGCAGTTCCTGTCTTGACACCTTCCATAAGAACAATACTTCCTTTTTTTCCTTTGCTATCAAGCATGGCTATTGATGGAGGTGTTTCATAAGGTGATTCTAGAAATGTCAAAAATCTTAATACTCCATCATTAGCTTCTAAGTCATTATCTAAAGTATATCTTTCTCCATTCTCTATTGTCCAAATAAATTCAATGCCAGCTAATGTAGTGAATTCATTTCCTTGATCATCATAAGCGCGTACTTCAAATGCCTCCGGCGCTTCTTCAATAAACAACTCTCTAGTTGTGGTGACTAAATTTAATGATGAAACAGCATCAACAATAATATTGCATCGTAAAGATTGACCAGTATTTATATCCTCTGCTAAAACTATGGCTGTATTACGAGTTAATTCTCTCGTTATACTTTGAACCATAACCTGAGACGAACACGTGCGATCAGGATGTTCATTGAGAGGAATTAAATTTAGGATATCAAAACGTGAGGTAGACCTATATAACAAACGGTAAATTTTTAAAAATAATTATAAATAAATAATATAAAAAATAATGTAGATGTTTCGTTACCATTGATAACATCCTCCTTCAGTGACTTCCAACGTAAAATTAACAGGAAAGTCGTTAAATATTGGTAGTAATACACGTGGCACATTAAGCCTCGATGCCCAAATTAAATGCCATGATAAATGTGTTAATCCAAACGTAATAAAAATTATTATTTTTAACAAAACACTCAATCCCGCCATAATTTTTTGCTACATGTGTTGTGGAAACTTGGCGGCCTTCGGAAAACCGTTAACCATATAATAACTTGTAGAATGGTATATAATGAAATTTTCTAAAGAGTCTCAAAAGCGCTGATGATTCATGGTGGTGAGAACATACGACTAAGCTCGAACTTTGTTGCATTCGTTGATAAAATAAATTAATGTCATTCGGTTGCTACCATCGACATTTGGGTTGCTAATTTTCAGCCTTATCGAAAAAAGCGTGACGATCAGGTTGGACTCGGGCAATATGGTGACGTTTTGCCAGACTCTATCTCAAAAGACTCTAGTCCAACTTATATATGTATAAACTACTTCAGTATGAAATATTTATTACAAAAAAAATTAATAAGAGATCAAATTTGTTTTCGAACATAATTGAATAATTGGTTTTGATTGACTTGTAAACGTTTCTATTCAACTAGCATATTATTTCTGTTCAATCTTAAATATTGAATGCCGCCTTTTTCAAACTCCTTTTCAACGTCCTCTACACAAGAAGGCCAAACTTCTTTTAAAAAATACCTCAATCTTGCTTTAGTTTATGAGTAATTTATCAATGTAAATATTGTTCACAAATGGTTAGTAAATAGTAGTATTTACGAATAAATTTCAGCTATAAGAGACCAACTTTTCATAATAATTTCTTGTTGGTATTTATAATAATCATTTACTAAGAAACATCAAATACTCAATGTTTTTATGCCATACCGGCGTATGTTAACCTCTCAGCTATTTACGCGTTATTTTTTATTGGTAAAGATTGTTAAACTAATAAGTAAGAATATTAAACGAAAATAATGAATACAAATACAAGAGATGTCCAAAGTTCCTTAAAAGAAGCTCTTTATGAAACATTGAACGGAATTCTTTCTCCACATGGCGAAACTCGTCAAGCAGCAGAACAAAGAATTCAAGCATTAGAAGTGACTGATGAATTCGGTATTCATTTGACTGAATTTGTAATAGATACCAATGGACCTTTAGCTATCAGACAATTGTCATCAGTTTTATTGAAGCAATATGTTGAAGCACATTGGTGTTCTGTTAGTGAAAAATTTCGCCCACCAGAAATAACGCCTTCAACAAAAATGAAAATCAAAGAATTATTACCACTTGGCTTACATGAGCCTGTCAGCAAAGTAAGTTTATTATATTTTATGAGTTCTGTACTTATTTGTGAAAGAATTCTGTTTTAATATTTTTGAAAATTATTATAAACAGGTAAGAGGATCAGTAGCTTATGCAATATCTGCTATAGCACACTGGGATTGGCCAGAGACTTGGCTTGGACTTTTTGATATATTGGTAGATTGTTTAAGTAGTCAAAATGAATATGCTATTCATGGTGCAATGAGAGTATTAAATGAATTCACTCATGATCTTACTGATAATAATCTTCCAAATGTTGGACCGATTATTCTTCGAGAAATGCATAGGATTTTTGTGACTGAAAGTGTATGTAAATTGTTTTACAAAAAATTCTATTACTCATAAATAACATTGATTACGATATACTAACAATAATCTAATTTTTATAACAAACAGTACAGTATTAGAACACGAGGAAGAGCAGTAGAAATATTTACAACAATTGCTTCTCTAGTTGCATCTACGGGTGTTTATCAAAAAGGATTTGTACATCACCATTTAAAACCAATGATTCCAGCATTTTGTGAAAAATTTGTATCCTGCTTAAGAGAACCTAATAACGGACCGACGTGTGATACTGGTCTGAAGACAGAAATTATTAAAGCAATTAATTGTTTAGTAGTAAAATTAACAAAATACGTAGGAAATTATTTGCCAGAAATTTTACCTCCTGTATGGGAAACGCTGACTCAAAGTGCAAAAATTTATCAAGAAGAAGCGATTAATGGTGGAATCGATGACAGTGATATAAATAGGAAAAATGTAGATTCTGATGGTAAATTGTTTTATGTTTAATATTAAAATTTTTTTAATATAAAAAATTTCTAATAAATCAATCATTTAACATTTTTAGGGGAAGTGTTAAATATAAATAATTTGATAATGGTTACATTTGATTTTATAAGTTATTTATTAGATCATAAAAGTTTCTCAAATCTTCTCAATAATCTTCTTCAAGAAGCTATATATTATTTAATAATATTTATGCAAATAACTGATGAGCAAATTGAAATATGGACAACTAATCCGAGTCAATTCGTAGAAGAAGAAGAACAGGGAGGATTTTCATATAATGTTCGTATATCAGCTCAAGATCTTTTAACGGTAAGTTTGATTATTTTAATAAGATAATATTCCAATACTACAAGCTTTATATTTTTTAATATTTCATTTTCTACTAAAGGCTTTAATAAATCACTCAGATAATGCATTGAACGCTCTCTGTGAAATGATAACACGACATATTGATGCTGCGAATGCAATACGTGCTTCTAGAAATCTTCAAAACAGAGAAGAAAATAATACATGGAAAATTTGTGAAGCTGCTGTCTTAGCATTGAGTGTATGTAAAGATGAAATCATTGAAAAACTCGATAGTGGACGTCTTCATTTTAATCTAGTTTCATTTTTGAATACTGTTATTTTAGGATTTCTTAATGATCCAAGTAAGTTTTTATATTACGTATTTAATTAGATGATTTACATTCATAAAAACTTTTTTTCAACTTATAAGATAACGTTTAAATTATTTTTAGCTGCTCATCCTTTTCTTCTCGGTCGTTGTCTATGTCTTGGTGGCCGATTTGCAAATCATATGCCTCCAGAAATAAGTTCACGATTTTTAGAAGCAACAGTTAACGGTTTGCAAGAGAATCAACCCGCTTGTATTCGTATTAGTTCAGTCAGAGCCATATATTGGTTCTGTGAAGCATCCACTAATTCTAATACACCTGAGATTCATGATTTAATACGTCCACATCTGTCTTCTATATTTCAGCAGCTATTTAGTTTGACTAATCAACCTTCAACAGAAATTTTAACTCTGGTTATGGAAACGTTTTCTATTTTAGTTGCGGTAATTAGTCAATTAAAAAATTTTTATCAACTTTTTTATATTTAAATCATAATTGAATTCATAAGTTATTCAATTAAATTACAGGTAGATAAAGAATTTACTGCAAGTGTTGAAAATAAAATTTGTCCTCTAACAATTGCAGTTTTTCTTAAATTTCATAGCGATCCGGAAATTTTATCACTTTGTCAAGATATCTTTAAGGAGTTGTCAGAAAATTTACAATGTATTGGACCTCTACAGTCACGTTTGATTCCTACACTTGTCAGTATGATGAATATAAACCCACTCGAAAAATCAAGTGATGGTATATTTTTATATTTGCTTACTAATTGGCAATTAATAATGCCTAGGATAATTTTATTTTTTTTTCATTATTAGAAGGTACTCGAGGTGTAGCTTTGGATATTTTACAAGTTTTGGTACAATTTTCACCTCAACCTCTTAGTAATGCCCTAGTAGAGACCGCGTTTCCTGCGGCATGTCACTGTATAATTAATTCTGATGATAATGGAACTCTTCAAAGTGGCGGTGAACTTATTCGAACTTATTTGTATGCCAGTGCTCGTCAAGTAATTCATCACAGAGATAATGAAGGTCGAACAGGATTGCATTATATATTGCAAATAGTTGCACAATTGCTCAATCCACAGGTTTGTAATGACTATTTTTTCAATAAATAATTTGTTTAAATACATTAAAATATAATTCCTCATTTTATGATTATTTCTTATTTATAGTCTAGTGAATTTACGGCTACATTTGTGGGAAGATTAGTTATCACACTTATTAGAAAAGTTGGAAATGATTTAGGAGAAAATTTAGATTTACTTTTGAAAGCTGTACTCAGTAAAATGCAAAGAGCAGAAACATTGACAGTTATGCAAAGTTTAATCATGATTTATGCTCATTTGTTGAATACTGAGTTTGATGCAGTTCTCAATTTCTTATCAACAGTACCAGGACCAACTGGTCAGAGTGCTTTAGCTTTTGTTTTAGTTGAATGGGTAAACCGACAACAACTATTCTTCGGTACTTATGACAGAAAAGTTACAACAGTTGCTTTATCAAAAATTCTGGAATATGGAGTCACAAATGACGATACGAGGTTTAATGACATTACAGTTAATGGAGATGAAATTTTTTCAAGTGAGTAATATATTTTATAATAATTCACTGGATATTATTTAATCTTGAAATTATAAGAAATAATAATTTGAATAAACAATGAATTACAGGCTCATTTATTTATTTATAAATATTCACATGCATCAAAGACTATATAAAAAATCATTTTTTCTATTTTATAATTTTATTATTTCTACGTTTTTAAACATTTAATTAAAATACAAACGATACATAAAGTAAAAAATAGTAATAACTTGTATTTTTTTATTTTTAATAAAAAATTTGTAAATAATTCTTAATTATATAAAATTATAGCAAATGAAAGTGGAATCCGTACGAGAAGTAAAACTCAATCTCAGCCATGTCAGTGGACTACAATACCAATTTTGGTGAAAATTTTTAAATTAATCATTAACGAACTCCCTAATACCATCGAATTCGAGTGCGTTAATAATCAAAACGCTGAGGTAATTAAATAGTTTATTTTGTTATTATTCGCTTGTTATTTATTTATATACTATATATCAAGCGATTATAGCATACAACATAAATATCAATAATAAGTAACAACTATATATTGTCTAGGAATCAGATGAAGACACGGATAATGAAGATATTTGTATAGATCCAGGCAATGAATCCGATTTAATACGTAAGTTTAAGATTTTCTGGATTCTACTTTCTATTATTTGACTACTAGAAAAAATTTCTAATGATCAACATCTATTTTTCAGGGGCATTGGAGGAACCAGAAGAAGCGGAAGATGATCCAGATCTTCGGGAGGATACAATTTATCATTTGAATATCAAACAGTATTTGAGAGATTTTCTCATAAATTTCTCAAATCATCATTGCTTCCCGGCATTCACTCAACATTTGAATCTTACTGAGCGTAAAATTTTGAGTAATCTCAATATAAATCCAGCATACATCCAGTGATAATAAAATACAATAGCGATCATCAACGCTACACATAATTTTTTATTTTTAATTTTAATAAAGCATTCCCTTTGTCATGCATGTAAAAATGTATATAAATATACATTTTTATTTCTTATGATTCTTTTTTTTTTTATTTATATTCAGTTTTTGTTTAAACTTATTTTAAAACTAATATATGAATTACTATGGCAGCAGTCGTTTTCTATGTGTATATACAATTATAAATATTCATCTTTTTGGCAGTTTGGTAAAAAAAAAACATTTCATTCTGTATAATTAGATATTACCATTATATATACAAATATGATTGATTGTTGTCAGTAATAATTATGTATAATGAGTATACATTATACAGATGTTACTGACAATAATCCCATTGGTTTCCCATTCGTTCCACAATTTACATCTTCAATTCTATTTATATGACTCATAGTATCCTGAAATGATTTTTTGGATAGCAATAATTCTTTTGCTTCTTCATCAACAGCTTCACAGTTCATTATCTCACGGCACTGCCGTGATGATTTTATTTGTTGTTGTTGATGATGTTGCATTGATTGATGACGTAATTTTCTTTGACGTGCATGCTCAATATGTCGCTTGCGTTCATCTTTGCTCCAATATCGACCCAACTAAAATAATATTCATATTTATATGATTATTTTATTCTATGATTAAAATTGAATAAATAATTCTAAAAGAAATTTTCTTATACTCACTTTTATTTCTGAAACAGTATCATCCTCTGTAGTTTGACCAGCTCGTTCTTCAGAAATTTCCAGAGTTCGATTTCCAAGTAAACGATTACGCACCGTTCTTCTAGCAATATATCTAGTTCCATCAGGTCGTCTTTTAACTTTCCATTCTGTACGAGGATCACAGTTATCTTCAGGCATATTTAGCACCGTAGAAGTAGTTCTCACTTGTTGACTCCCAATAAAATGATATTGAGTCAAATTAGGAGCTCTGAATTTTTCTTTCGATTTAGAATTTTTTTTTGCTTCTTTATTAGTTACATTTTTCTTATTAATTGCTTGAGTAAAAATCTGTTTCTGTATATTCATTGTGCGTTCAAGATTGTCCGCATTAGTATACATTACATTAGAATTATTAATACAACTGGTTGGATAATCACGATTTTCTAACTGGCAGTTTTGATTTGATAGCTGGTGATGATAATGATGATGATGGTAATACTGATGAGGATAATGATACTGGTATCCATAGCGATGATGATGATAATGATGAGCACCTGATAATTTTTTATCTTCTTGAATGGCTATTTGATGAATATTTGTTTGAGTACAAAGTGAAGAATGTGTGGAGCAAGTAACTCCTTCAAAAGGTTTTGTTTTACAAGTTGTTTGTGAAGATGTAATATTTTCGGGAGGACACAACACTAATGTGCTTCCTCGATAATCACGATCACTTTTATGAAGCTCCAATACTAATGGATTACTTTTGCAGGATTCACCAGTATTATAAGCACTCGAGCTATCTTTTTCCTCAATAGAACTACTACTCTTTGATGATTTATTACGATTTACATGTTGACTAGTAGATTCAGACATACGATTAGCATTGATAAATATTTGACTCTCATAGGGTGAAGAATAAATAGGTTCATTATCACTTTCAGGGATTGTTTCATAAATATGTTCAGTATCACTGGCTGCTTCAATAACTAGAGATGTGGCTGTTGATTGCGTAGTCACTGGTGTCATTGATAATTTATTGCGAAGTGTTAATTCTTCCATTTTTTTCGTGGACTCGTTAACATTAAGTGAATTAGATTTCCAATCAGAAAAATGACCTGATTGTAATTTGGTAGCATCTTTGTTTGAATTATGTGAATTTTGAGATGAACATGTTGATGAAGATGTCATCGAGTTTACTGATGTATTGACCGAAATTACAGTGTTATGAGATGGTACTGGGGGTGGAGTTAAATCTTGATGGATCCATAAATTTGGATCACTTGGGTCTGGAAGACTTTCGTTGTCCTGAGATTCAATTTGCTTCTGCTGACGACGCATTAATAATTCAATCATTGTATTTTGGTAAGCTGGACCATTACTAGGAGATGTAGGAGATGAATTCTAAATAAAATATCGAAGAAAACATTTGATTATATTAATATTAAAAGATAATCAATTATAATTGATGTCAATTAATCTAAATAACATTGGTGGCATCATAAATTTAATTGAATAAAATTAATAATGATACCTGAGATAAACATCGACTCACGAGAATAGTAACTTTATTTTTGGTTTGCATAAAAATTTTTTCCGTCTGCTCTTTGTTTTCGATATCTTGTCCATTGACCTATTGACATAGTTATTGTTATCTTCGATCGAAAAACCTTAACTACAATAGTACTTACTCGTAAAATTTGATCACCCTCTCGTAAACGTCCATCTCGTGCTGCTAAACTTTCAGGAGCTATTTCTGAAATATAGATCTCCGCTGCTTCAGAATTTTCTCGATCCGGTGCGTAATTATAAGACACTGTAAGCCCTAATTTTTCCATACTTGTACTTTTACATAGAGTGACTTCCTACAATTTAATTATTGTTACATTATTTTTGTTATTATTTAAACTTCGGAGTATTATTTATTTAGTACTAGCAGTCCCGTAATAAAAACTCATCTGCCAATAAAGATTTTAAATCCCATTGAAAATTAAAACTACTAGCTGGTTACCTCAAGAATAACATCATTTCCTAGTTTATAGTTTTCTATTTGCCGTCCATCATTTGGATTTGATAATATTTCATTAAGTTTGATTAATTCTCCATCATCAACATCGTCATCATCATCATCTTCATCCTCTTCATCATCATATTCAACTCCATCTTCATAAACATAATAATTATCAAAATATTCATCATTCACAAATCCACCTAAATCCGTTTGAACAGCCGTTGATACAAGAGTTACAGTCTTTGTTGGTGTTATTTGCTCTTGAGTTGGAGTTTTTGTAGACACTGTTAATGCATCATTTTTACATTGAGGTACTTTCATTCGAAGAACTTGAATGGTTATGGGTTCATGAGCTGACTTGAAAAGACGTACGGTATCCTCATGACTAGAATTCGTTACATCTCGACCATTGACCTATAAACAATTTAAAGAATTTTTAAACAATGACATTCAAAGATAAGATTATTCTAATTAAAAATCAAATAAAAACAACTATAATAATTTATTTTACTTACTTTTAAAATAACAAAATCCATCTCGATTTAAAAGACGTTCTACAGAACACACTAAATTTAGCAATTGTAATTAAAAAATAAATGCAAAAAAGTATTAAAAGTTATATTTATGGCGTTTTTTATTCGAAACTGTTTGTTCTTCGAAAAAAAATGATGAATGTTGATAGAATCATTTCTGTTGCAATAAATTTTAAATTTTTGTTGCAATATTATTATAATATATTTAATTTACCTATATTATTTGTCAATTGATTAAGGTAACTACTTAATAATTGACGATCACAAATTTTCACTAGACTAAATAATAACTTTATTCTTATATTACATGTGAGAAAAATTGGGCAATATTCTACAAAACTGCAGTGAATGTAGGGAAAAGAGTCAGCAGGAGAGGGTGGAAAAATGCACAGCTGAAACGTCTAGTGTGTAATTTGATAGTGTGTGAGATACAAAGAATACACTTTACCTACGTAGAAGCACAACTCCAAAATTTCAGAGTACACAAAGTATTTAGTACATAAGTCGATTATGTGGGGCGCTACGATCTACCCTTGTAAATGGATTGCGATCCGTCTAAACTCTTCCACGTAGTAGTTTTCTAACCACTTCTGACATAATTGTCAATCATCCTCATTTAGATTTCATAAAAGTTATTTACAAGTTTAAAAGATGGTTGTATTAGTAAAAAATTCAGACATTGATGACAATGAGAGTGAAAATGATGGAGCAAATCCTAAAGAAGCTCGAGTATATTCATTAGAAAGTATCCTTTCGTTATCAATACCTATTTGACTTGAATACATTTACCATATCGATGACTGTGGACAATATTTTTAATTGTATTTCAGATTTTCCATGTCATTTAACTTGAGTATTAATTTTTTATTAATTCTTATCGAATATTGATCCTTAATATAAATTTAGTTCAAAAAATCATCAAAGCAGCTCAGTGGCAACATGGTCTTCGACATGGTGACTATCAACGATACAGAGGCTATTGTTCTCGTCGTTTACGACGGCTTAGAAAAGTTCTTAAAGTTCCACAGGGTGATAGAAGACATTTCAAAAGAAAAGACATAACACCGACAATGGTAAACGATGATAAGTTCCTTCAGATTCCATTAATGATGGCTGAACGTGCTTGGAGTTATGCTTCTCAATTAAAAATGGAATCTAATACAGAGCCTAGAAAGAAATTTCATTTAATTTCTAGACTCAGAAAAGCTGCTGTTTACTCTTTACAGTTACAAGAGTTGATTGAGGTAAATTAAAAGTAATTGAAGTTTTTGATTAATGAAATATTAATGTTAAATTTATGAACTTACAGAGTATTAATAGTGACGCTCGAACAAAATTAGAAGCTCAAGCCTATGTTGCCTGGATGCAGGGAAGTTTACAACTTGAACTCCAATTATGGAAAGAAGCCATGACAAATTTGAAAAAGGCACAAGTAGTATATGGAGAACTTGCTTTAGCAGTTTCACCTCTTGAACAAATGATTTATAAAAGTAGAGCTGAAGAATTAGCTCCAAGCATTAGATATTGTGCTTACAATGTTGGAGATTCATCAGCTATTGATGATTTAATGCAAATGCGAGGTCAATTAAGCAGTGAATTATTAATGAATTTGGATACTCTAATAGTTCAAACAAGGGAAACACAAACAAATGTTGAAGAGATTAACTGGCGTGGTAAATCTTGCGGTGTTGCACCAGCTAGAGTTACTGGTCTTTTGTTAGCAGATTATCAATTAACATTGACATTAGAAAAAACTCCAACTCTTCAAGCTAAAATTGGCCTTCTTGAAGCTCATTTGATTGATTGTAAAGACGCAATATCTGTAGTACGAGAGCTTTACAAGAATGAATTAAAAAATAAAGATGACAAGTCATCAGCTCATCATTTAATTGCATATTTGCAGTATATCAGGCTTTCTCGAACGTTGGAAAGAAATTTGATACTTATACAAAAAATTGGTGAAGAATCAGTTAAAGTTAAACCGCAAAATTATGTGAAACTTTATGAAGCAGTTATACATAATTTACTGCAAATGTTAAAATTACTTGATGATGAAGAGTTTCAACGAGAACATGAGGCTAAAATAAAAGGATACAGTGCCTTCAGATGTTATTATATGGCTCAATCAACAGAAAATCTTCAGATGTGGCGTGAGGCTTTAGCTTTATATGATAGAGCTCTTGAACACGCACGGAATGCTTTGTCAAAAAATTCATCTTATTTACCAGAAGAACTAAAAACAGCATTAAATAAATTAGAGCGTTCAATAGAAGGAGCTCAGTGTGCTGTTCATGCTCAAAGTGTTCTTCAGGAAGAGCAAAAAAATGAATCTGCTGCCATTAAACAAACTAAAAGCAAGAAACCACTTTATGATAGACTTCATGAATATCGCGAAGATTCTTCGCTTCTTTCCAAGCAACCAAACGTTTTTACTCTTCCTCCTCCTATGAAAAGTATTCCCTGCAAACCACTGTTCTTTGACTTGGCATCAAACATGATTGAATTCCCAGATCTATCAGATAAACTTGGAGATCAAGGTAAAAAAGGACAAGCTGGACTCACTGGATTCGTCAAAGGACTTTGGGAATGGGGTTATAAGTAAAACTTATGTTCTAAAAATTATTAAAAATTGATTTGTAATCATTCAATGAATAAAGAAAATTATATTCAATGGAATTCATAGTAATTCATGTTTTTTTTATTGAAATATCAAACATTTTATAAACTTTAAGATCTTTATCTGAGTATGTTAAAATTCAATGCGCAATTTACATTGAATTTATGATGAATAATGTATAAAAGAAGTCAATAAAATATTTCAAGTGTCGCCTATCGATTGTAAAACTTAAAAGTACTTTTAAATTGACACTTTTTCTTACAATAGTAAATGTTATGATTTATCTCTTAAATTAAAACAGAAACAAATTTATTTACATAATGATGATTTACTTTATATCCAATCTATATTGCTAAAAACTTGCATGCTATCTAATATGAAAAATGAATTTAAGTTAAAAAATGATCTGGACGGGTTTTAAATTATTTATTTTCAGCAGTTATCCATGGATGGGATAAAATACCATCCCAAGGTAATCGAAGCTCTGATTTGACAACTAATAACTGAAGAAGAAATTATAATTAAAAAATTTTGAACCAAAAACTGATTAAATAATTTTAAAACATACCTTAGAAATTAAATCTCGAGCTGCTTCACTAATGTAAGAAGGGAATGTATAACGAGCCTTGATAATTTTGTTGTATGTTTCATCGTAAGTTTTAGCAATAAACGGAGGTTTCCCCGTAAGACATTCATAACAAAGTACTCCAGTTCCCCACAAGTCAACAGAATGATCATGGGGTTTTCCAAGAACCATTTCTGGAGGTAAATAATCTAATGTTCCACACAAAGTCTCTCTTCTTGATGAAGGAGCATGAACTGACCAACCAAAATCGGCTATTTTAAGCTCCCCATTTTTTCCCAACAATAAGTTTTCTGGTTTTATATCTCGATGAATGACTTTCTTACTATGACAATATTTTAATGCACTAGCTAATTGTTTAATGTATCCAGCAGTTCTGAAATAAAATTTATATTATTATTTATATAAGTCACAAGAATAAACAATGTTTGATCAGTCACCTTGGTTCGTCAAATCGTCCATTGGGTTCTTTTTTCAAAGCTTTGTATAATTCTCCTCCAGGTGCGTACTCCAAAATGAGATAAACCCTCTTAACGTCATGAAAATAGCCATACATTCGTAAAATATTGGGATGTCTGTAAAATTAGAAAATATAATTACAATAAAATATATATATTGATTATAAATAAAAAGAATACTCAAAATTACCTCAGATGTGTTTGAATTTCAATTTCTCTACGGACTTGATGCTCGACATTGCCTTCTTCAATTTGACTTTTAAAAAGAACTTTCATAGCAATGATAAACTTTGAACGTTTTTCCCTTGCTAAATAAACATTTCCGAATTTTCCTTTACCAAGTGGATTTCCAATCTCAAAATCAGTTAAAACCCACTTTTTCTTCTGATCAGAGCCCTTTTCACTATCTTGATCATATTTATCTCCATTTTTGGTAACTATTTCATCTTTCTCTATTGATTTAATTTCTTGATTTCGATCAACTATTTGTTGTGGTTCATAATCATCCTTTTTTTCTTCTTTTTTCTCTTCTTTCTTCTCTTCTTTAGAACCATAATTTTTATGAAGATAATTCATCACTTTTTTTTGTAAGCTGTCTGAATTTTTGTTGACAGTATTGTGATTTTCTTTTTCATTTGTGCTTGAAGAACCATTTCCATTATTAATCGTTAATTTTTTAAGATTTTTACTTCTAAATGGAAAATCCATATTCCTATCAAATTCTATTTGTTATAAAAACAAGTTTTATAAATAAAAATTTTATATCTTCACGAATTATAAACTGTTGTAAGGATTTCCAGTTTAGACACTTCTCATTGAAATTATATTACAAAAAATAGTTATTCAGACTCTGTTACTATAAAATATGAAAACAAAACATATTTTAATTGAATTAATTAATTAAATTGAATTGTTAACAATTTTATCAACTTACTTGCCAGATAAGTTTATTGTGCTCCTGTGTCTTACAATTTAAATAATGTAACGGCCGTTTTATCAGGCTTGTTTTGTATAAAATAACTTGGAAAGAAAAGATGTTAGAAAATTTTGGTGTAAAAAGCTCCTCTATCGGTCATTATTGAAACAATAAAAATGAACTTGTGGCCCTCTATAATTGTAAAATTACAATTACATTTTGAGGAGTTCCCATATGGCAGGGGTATTTTTGTGTATTTTTGTACACTCGAGTGTATATGGCACAAAAATACTCCTGCCATTCCCATCTGTCAGTCTTTTAGGAAAGGACTGACAACCACTGAGGAGTCATTGGCGTCCACGTTTTCAAGCAATATAATTTTTTAAATTCTTCGTTTACAAAAAATATAATTTAATATTTATACTAACTAAAATACTAAAAAAATTAATTAAATACAATCATTCATATCAACGGCTAATTTAAAACATTGTAAACAAAATAAAGAGGTAAGTTTTTTATTTTGAATACAAAGTTGAGAATCTTGAGAATAACCCCTATTTGTTGTTTAAAATCACTTGACGGTAACATAGTCGTCGGCAAAATAAAACAGTTAATTCTGTTGAATTAAACCGTTGGTGGTTTTGCAGCCGTTAGATCTGTTCATAACCTGATTGAATAGCGTCCTTCTTTGGACTCTTTTTAATAGAAATATTCGCGAAACTTATCAATATTTGAATGGCCAAAGCACTACAGATATTATGCTAATATTTGGTAAGCAAAAAATACATTATAATGATTGCGCAAAAATGTTTTTTCCTAAATACTATTGAATAACAACCAACCATTTGCTTAGTTATCTCCGTAGCATTTAAATTTTATTACTTCAATAATGACAAATACTTTTTTGTCATTTTATTTTGTCTAATTTTGTTAAATAGGTTATTAACAAAGTGGTAATAATACTGCTAACATTTTTACTATGAACTAAAGTTAATTATGAGTTTCAAATAACTTATTTTTTTACAATAAAATTTTCGAGAATATTTATGTGAATTCTATTTTGAGTTGATAATGTAATTTATAATGATATAAATGTTCATATAATATTATTTGATTTCAGAAAATATTTGATTTTAAATATTAAATAGTGCAAAAATGGATCCAGCTACAGTGATAGCACTTTGTAAGGAAAATATACAACCATTGCGTCATGGAAGGAATGCCACTCAATTGGGAACAGCATTAAGAGCTCAAGAAGATGTCGAAGCTCAGCAATTGCTAATGCAAGAAAAGCAGTAAGCAAAATATTTATATAAACTGTTTTGAGCATTTTCTTCAACTGATGTAATAATTGAATTTTTTTCAACAGAATGTATGAGGATGCAATAAAAAATTACGAAGGTGATGATCCATTGGAAAATTGGTATGAATATATATTATGGGTTGAACAAAGTTACCCCAAAAATGGACACGAATCTCATATCGGGAAATTATTACAACAATGTTTGACTACTTTCGAAAAAGAAACCAAATATTATCAAGACCGTAGATATATTAGATTATGGATAAACTATATCAGTATGCAAAAAAATCCACTAGAAGTTTATCAAATGCTGTACAATGCTGGTATAGGAACAATGGTTGCTGATATGTATCGAGCATGGGCTTTTGAATTAGAACAAGTCGATGACTATAAAAAAGCTGACGAAGTCTATATGCTAGGAATAACTGCTAGAGCAGAGCCACGTGATGAGTTAATTTATGCTCGAGAAAACTTTCAATTAGCAGTCGGTCGAAAGACATTAGGATGTCCTGATGACAGAAGTGAAATAGCTCTATCAGAACAGAGACAAGCATTCAGTTCTTTACGAGCAATAAAAGCTGGAAAACGAGTAACAAATATGAGAACAGGACATCGTGTAAAAGATTATTTTCCCGGTGTCATATCGCAATCTGTTCCACAAATACAAGGACAATTTAAAGACAGTAAGTCTAATACAAAGATACAAATTTATGAAGATGAAGCTGCGCAAATTGAGCTACGGGGCGCAAGCATATTAGATCATATTGCTATTGAAGATACACACAAAGAAAATACATTAAAACCCGGCCAGTGGAGTAATGCATCCAAAAAACATCATCAATTAATTCCAACATCGGTACGACCGGCATTCAAAATTCATGAAGATGGAATAGATGACAATTTCGACTTCGAAAGATTACGCTTATTTCCAAATCATACACCATTCTTTGATGGAAGTAAATATCCAGAACATATGGCGGTGCCAGTATTTGTACCCGATGCACCATCAGCAGTTATTACAAAACCTCGTTATCCCAAAGATTTAGTTTATGCAAACAATATTGACAAGAGTATGGAAGAAATTAGAGCTGAGAGATATTTAAATGAAATAAGAAATTGTGAAAATAATGTTAGAATAGATGGAACGCAATTATCATTAGGAATTAACCAATGTCTTGCTACTGGACATGATCCAAAAAATCAGAGTCATGAAGTAATGCAAAGTAGATTAGAAAAAAGAAAGCTAGAAGAAGAAGAGTTACGAAAACAGTGTGAATTAGAAGAACAGAGAAGAAAAGAAGAAGAATCTCGTGAATTGGAAAGACAACGTAACGAACAATTAGCACTTGAGAGAAAACGTTTAGAGGCTGAGTTAGAAAGACAAAGACAAGCAACAGAGCTAAAAAGACAACACGAAGCTGAATTAGAGAGACAGCGAATTGAAGCTGAAAGAATAGAAGCAGAACGTATTGAGAGTCAAAGAATGGAAGCTGAATTAAGTCGGCAAAGTAAATTACAATCTTCAAATTATATGCAGCATTCGTCTAATAGTGGAATTGAGTCTGGGGTTGAACAATTATTAGGTCAAAGTCTTACTGTTAATACCAAGGAAGCCATGTCTGTGATTCAAGATCTGTGGAATTCACCTTCTAGTACTAATTCACCTTTAATGAGTAGTCCAATGGTGCATAGAATGGACTCACGCTCAAAGCTAAACTTTGACATCCATATCGACAGTTCTATGACTCAACAACATGCTATATCTGACTCACGACATCACATTAATTTTAACATTCAGCAATCGTATCATGATCAAGAAAATCATCAACATTTCAATACTCCATATAATACTCTTCAAGAGCACCATCAATCGTTTCAGAATCATGGTATTCCTGATCCATATCATTATCAAGTTCAACAGCAGGTTCAGCCACCGCTTCAACACACTCCTCAACTACAAGCTCATACTCCTCAACTGCAAACTCACCATCCTCACCAATCACCTCACATTCAAACTCACATGGAGCAATCGCATAACATGATGCATCACCAATCTCATCTTCATCAACAACACCCTCAAATGCATCAGTCCTATCATCAACCTCATATACCTCAATCTCCATTGCCTTCAACTCATTCACAACCACCACATCTTTCTCACCATTCTCAATCACTTCACAATGCATCCCATCTTCATCCTTCACCGCATGCTCAATTACAACATCATCATGTATCACCACATATCCAACACCATCAACAACAACATCACATTTACAATAATAACATGCATTCTAACAATGTTGGATATCATCAACAATATCCAATGATGCCTCCACTTCAACCAGAACCACAAAAACAACTTCACTTTGCTGCTCCTTATGTTGATCATCAAGCTGAAAACAAAGCTTATAGAAAGTCAGAGTTACCTTTCATCAAATCACCAGGGATGAATCGTCGAGATTTAAAGTTTCTTGAAAGTACTGATAATAAAGAAAATGCTGCAGCTCTTGGATTCAATACTGTTATAGAAGAAAAACAAGTAGTGGGAAATAATTTGTATGTAGATGAAAGTCTTGGAATATCTCCTTTGCCTGGAGTAAACGATACTTGTTTGACAGAAGGATTCAGGGAGCCATTATTAAGCTCTACACCAATGACAAATCAGTTTAGACCAACTTACAGAACTAAAGAAATTTTATATCAACAATCTCAAGCACAATTTCCACCACCACCTCCACCATTACCACAGGAACAACAACCTGTACCAAATGGTGAATCTGACGATAAATTAAGTACTATTTTGGAATCTACAAGAGAATATACTTCTAGTTCTGGAAGCAGTGCCAATACTCGAACAACACAATTTGGATTTACAATAATACGTGAGGATGAGCCACTAAAGGACCAATCTATCAGTCAAGATCTGAAAAATGATATAAATGACACAAAAATGCAAACAAAACATCAAGCTATTCACGCTCAAAGTCCTCGAACAATGCAACGTAATGTTGATTTAATAACATCGGAGATAAAGAATAATTGTGATCTTCGAATACCTTTTAATTTAGATGTCGAACCTTTAAAAGAAAATAACAATATATCAATTGAATGCCAGTATAGTGAGCCAATGGAAGAAACAGAAGAGGAAGAATTTAAATTACCCAGCGGTGATATCAATCCGTTTGACAAAGAGATTATTTCTGGTCTTTTACGAAAACTTAAATTTCCACGGCCTCATCATTCAGATGGATATACAAGAATTAATAAGAATTTAAATAAATTCGTGCCTTCTAGTGTGATTTCCCTAGGAACTGATACATACGAGTTAGACAAGTGCCTTGGCAAAGGAACTTATGGAACAGTTATGAAAGCTTTTGATCCACAAACTAGACAAACAGTAGCGCTTAAAACTCAAAAACCCGCTTGGGTTTGGGAATTCTATATAGCTAGAGAAATAAAAGCTCGCTTAACAAATCCACATATGCTTCGTGGATTTATGGATGTTTCTAAAGTTTATGTTGCTAATAATGGCAGTGTACTAGTCTCGGAATATTCCAAATATGGAACATTATTAGCTGTGACTAATCAAGTAAAAATTGCCACAGGCAAACCACTTAGTGAACCACTTGCAATATTTTTCACTATTGAGATGCTTCAAATTGTCGAGTACCTTCACAAATGCCAAATTATTCATGGAGATATCAAGCCTGATAATTTTTTGTTAATGCATCTGTAAGTATTCATAATATGTAAATTCTGTTTTTTTTTATTATTCTTAAATAAATGGTCAATATCTGTAATGATTTTCGTTAAAGAAACTTATAAGAATAATTCTAATATTTTTTTAGTTTTTGATTTAATAATTATTTTTAATTTTCTAGGCCAACTGAAGATGTGAGACCAACAATCCAATTAATAGACTTTGGTTGTAGTATTGATATGACCTTATTCCCAGAAGGAACTAAATTTACTCAAAGAATAACTACAGAAGATTTTACATGTATTGAAATGCAGACAGGTCGTCCATGGACCTACCAAACTGATTTATATTGTGTAGCTGCTTCAGCTCATTGTCTTCTTTTTGGGATATATATGAGAGCTGTTATGTCTGGTAACCGTTGGTTCATTAACTCAAAAATGCCGAGGTAAATTATAGCATTGCAATTAGAGTAACTGTAATAGTACCTGCATAATAATTATTATTATGATTGCTAAATATAGAAATTTTGATTCTTTAGGTACGTACAAAAAGATACTTGGGAGACTTTATTTACAAAGTTACTAAATATCGAATCATGCGAAGTGATGCCAGATCTAGTTGAGCTTCGTAAAATGATGGAGGAAGCTTTAGCTAAAATACCAAGCGTTGAGATGAAGCTTAGAGCTTTGTCAAATGTTTTAAATAATCGATAACACTAATAACTGTTTGTAAGAACAAAAATCAGACTGTGTATGTACCTAACAACGCATTATTGTATGTTATATTAAATTATTATCGTGCTATTTATTATTATGATAAAAAATGGGAGAAAAATTAACTAACTATAATCTATAGTACTAGAAAGTGTTTACAATATCTGTAAATACTGCCTAGAAATCATTTATACAAATTCTTTTTGAGATTTAAAGTCTCGATCAACCATTGATATGATGTACTGATGAAAAGATATATATATATATATTGCTTCTCAGTCAATTTAGAAAAAATAATTTAATTTTTATTTTTTGTATTTTTCAGTATTCAGGCAATTTTTGATCAATTAATTTTGTATTTAAACGCGAGTAATTTAACTTGAGAGCTCAGTAAAATTCAGTTGCCAAAAATTCCATTAATTTCTTTAATTCCAATATATCATAACTAATTTAATCATAAAGCCGATAAACAACAAATAAGAATATTAAATGGAAAAGTAAAAAATTTTGATGTTTAACTGTTAGATTTTATATAAATAAAATAAGAAAACCTATAATACCCGCGATATTTAAATAATACAATAGATGGTATACACAAAAAATAATATAAGGTTTATGTAATTGTAAATGTGACAAATTGTTGCATTAGTTAAAAATATATGAGAATATGCCTTACTTTACTTTAACGGTGCAACAAAAAAGTTATATCTGTTAATTGAAAAGGAAAAAGCTGGCTTTACCTAAAATAATGTGAAAATAAAATTAAATCAATCAAAATTGTACAATTGGAGTTATTAATTATAAATCTTTATTTTTTTTTTCTTTTCATTTTATAAAAAATTTTTTTACACCATAAAATATGAGTCATTTAAAATACATTTCATAAAATATGTTTTGTTTATTATTATTTTTTTTTTAATAAAGCCATTGGTTTTATGATAAGTTGCACTGTTGCGCCAGTGAGTACATTGACTTCTCATGATGTTAAGTATAATTTTTAAGAAGCAATGTATTATTAAAATACGAAAAACTTAGAGATATAAATATTTACATCAATAAATGAAGAGATTAAAAATATTCCTTTAATATTATACTTAGTTAAAACTGAGAATTAATTTTAATTAATGATTATCTTACGCAAGTTTTTAATTGTTGCAAAAGACTTAACATTATAAAAGAAGAGTATGTTTACAGAGTTGATTATTAATTTAATTATTATAATATTCGTTGTATAATATGGATTAAAAGGAAAGATAAATTTAATCTACAGCACTTAAATTCATCATTTTACAAATTTGGCAAGACTTTTGCAACAGCCTTATAAAAATATAATATCCAGAATATTTATATTTATAATGTAACATTTTTAAATAGATTGATAAGTTCAAGTTTTACCGTAAAATTTTCGATTCAATAAGTATAATAACAGATTAACATTAACTTTTGCTTTTCCAAAAAGATTCATTATGGCAGCGCCTTCAAATTGCATTTCGAGTAATTTTTGTATATCAATTTCGATTTTCTCAATCTCAACTCCCATAAACTTTCCTTTTATCGTAAACAACCCATAATGTTCTCTTGGTGTTATTTCAAATGTGACGTTCTTGAACTGTGAATTAGGTAGACCATCAATTTCTTTCAAAATACCTTTTTCAAAAAGTTTGGCAGCTGAATATTGAAGAGTTTTCTTTGATTTCAATTTAGTTTGATTATTTTTCTGAGAAATTTTAGCTGCACGAAGTGTACCTTTTCCTGTATGAAGATTTTCAAGGCATCGTTTAATATATTCATTATAATATTCCACTTGTTCAGCATAATACTTTGTTTTCTCTTGAAGACGCTGTCTAGTAGCTCTTAACATCTGTAGTTCTTTATTTCTAATCATGCGATATTTTCCTTTGTTACAAAGATCTTTAGCTACAGCAGTAACAAGACTTTGATATCCATCTTCATGAGTAACCCAACCACCACGTTCTAGTTTCAATAAATATGATCGTAATTGAAATTTGCAGTCATCTAATGATGAGGTGCTTCTGTATATGAGACTTGCTGTATTTACTGGTACATTTCTAGCTCCATAACGTTTTTCTTGAACAGGTGAAGCAACTGCATCAAGAGCACTTACTAGGGTATCTCCTTTTAAAAATTGTATAACACACACCAACAATTCTTTTGTTTTGATAAACAACCTTTGTAAACTCTGATCTTCACTTCCAGGCACTTCGAATTTATTACTAAGCACGAGACAAATCTCAGTCTTACCCATACGAGCTAATGTCGTATCACAAACTGGCTCTGTAATACCCATTAAACCAGCAATTGTTGGTGGAGACTGTAAATTATCCAAAAGTTCGTGAAGTGAATCTTTAGTATCAGGTGCTATTTCATATCGATATTCAAGCAGTAATGAATGAGTATCACAGATTTCTTGAAGAGAAATAGAAATTTCTGGTTTGTGAATTAAAGTAGCTTCTGTATATTCACCAATATTGAAATGATCATCTAATTCTTCTATTTGACAGCAAGATCGGAAAAAATTTTTAAATTTCTCATGACACTCAATAATAAATGGATTCAGACAAACAAGATGTGGCGCTTCATCTCCAAAACCTTTCTTTGAGGCAGCAAATTGTAAAATTTTAGCAATACTTGCTAAGTTTCTTCTTTGGTCGTTCGAAAGTGATCTGTCAATTGGTAAAGTGACAATATCGAAAGCATCAGGGGCAACAATTGCTGCATTAATAAAGTGATAATAAATTAAATTACCAACAACTTTTAAAATATCTTTTTCTGCTGAATTAGGAAATTTTTCAGCAAGAGTATCATGAAGAACTTTTGATACATAGAGCATTCCATAAGGTATTAAATCTCTAGATTCAGTAATCCTCTGCAAGAAGTCACGAACGGTATTTCGGAGAATTTCGATTCCAATAGACAATTTTTTGCGTACTTCTTCATAATTTAAAGCTTGCTGTTGAGTTACTGAATAAGGCAAATCTAATGTCTCTCCAGTCTTCATTTCTAATTGATTTCTCCAACACTTATAAATATCTACAGGATTTGTTTCAATACATATACTCTTATCAGCTAAAACTTTTTCAATCACTGGCCCAAGAATTTGTCTTAAAGCTCGTTGCCCATTTAATTGTCTAGCATAATTCACCACCATTTTTAATACTAACGGGTTACCTGTCACAACTTCTGATGGTTTTTGGAATTTTGATCTGATTTCTTCTTGAAGAGCTTTGCCAAACAGTTTAAGTAGTAAATATTCTTCTCTCAAATTCGACCCAAAATTATATAAAGTTAAGATAACGTTTTGCAAAAATTTATTCGATTTACTTTGAGGTAATAAAAATAATAGTTTTGATAAATATACTGGATTAGTTTGTAAAGCATAAAAGAGATGTTGATATGCTTCAAGCATTTTTCGTCCCTCTTTGGTAAGTGATTTCAATCCTTTATGAATAGAAGGATCGTTAAATGAACTTTTTCGTGATCTAGTATTTTTTTCTTTCGTAAGACTCTCTAAACTTTTTCCATGAGCAATAACATCTTGTAAAGTTATTCTATTTTGTATTAATAAACCTATTTTTATATCCATACTATTTAACTGCTGTGAGAGCTTCTGATTATGTTTTATAGTTTGAACAACTTCATGTTTAAGTTGTTGTAGTTGAAGTTCTTTGTCATAATCTTCAGCATTAAAATCCAAAATAGAAGCAAAGTGTCTAACAACAGGGAAAGGCGGTTTTTCCATTCTTAAAAGAGAAACAAAAGCTTTTCTTGCTTTTCTACCTCGCCAGTGAGCTTGAATTCTTATAATTTTATGCTCATTTTGTTGATAAAAATCAAGACCTTTATTAGCTTGCTTTTTCTCCTGCAATTTGGAAATTTTTTGTTCTTGTCGCCGCATTTCTAAATAATAGCGACGTTGTAAAATACTCCTCCACCAAGCTTGAATTTTTATCACTTTGCCTTGATTTTGTTGGAAATGTGTCTTTCGATCAGACAACTTTTTTCGAAGTAAGTAACCACGTACCAATGCTTGAAAATGAATTACTGCTGATTCTTTGATTGCATCGAGTGGCAAGTTGTACTCTTTAGCAGTAACAGTTATTATAGCTTTTTCGATATCTTTTATCGTAATGAATCGACTCTTTGCTATCTTTAATGGTCGACTCCATGAGTAAATTTGTTTATCAATGTGTAAAAATGATTCAGTATTACGAGGGGTTACATAAATTACATAAGGGCACTTGTATTTTTTCGCCTTATATTGTTTCAAAGATTTTAACATATCAAAATATTTTTGAGAATGATCTTTATTTAGTTTTAAACAAGCTTGTTCAAGACATTCAGTAAATAATTTTATGTCATCAGTAGTTAATGCTTTATCTATTCTGCCTAATAGATGGCATGCATTTTGTGCGAAAGCAATTTCTTCCCCAGCTACTTTTGTTACGAAATTTACATCTTCAAGCCACAATTCAGTTCGATCTTTACTATTTTTTTCCAAACATTTCTTGAATAATTTCAAGTACAATGCTGAATCTTTTTCGCTGAGAGTAGTTGAAGAATCAACTAAATTATTCTTTAAAGCAGCCATTACAGCTAATGGATCACCGTTTAAAACTGCTTTATTTAATTCTTTCAATGCATCAATAGCTTTATCGTTATCTTGACATTGTTTATTTACCAAATCAATTACGTCTTGAATGTCAACGTATGTTAAAATTGGACAGCTTTTTTTCACTTCAGGGTCACTTCGAAGTGTTTCTAAAGCTTTGAAGTATTTGACTTTATTTCCTTCATCAAGATCTGTTACATGTGTTTCTGGATTTATTAAAGCCTCAAATACTAGATCAGGGTTTCCTGTGTCAATTGCTTTACTTACGGATGCTATTGCTGTCAATACTCGAATACTACTTAAAATATCATCATAAGATATATCACGACCAGAATCAGACTTATCTATTTTCATTTCTTCGAAATAAAGTGGAACTGAAAATTTATCAACAGCTTCACTTATACCCAATTGTGGATTCATTAGAGCATTGAAAAATAGTTCTTCTGAATTTTTCTCCAAAGCTAAATTAACTGATTTCACTGCTTCTTGAATCTTTTTATTTTTTATTGCTTTTTCGTTCACTCGATCAGTTTTTTTCTGTAATAAATGTTGCCATTGTACAAGGTTGTTGAAATTTTCATCTTTTTCAAGAAAATTTCTGATTAATGTACGGAATTCGTTTCTATATTCGTTGGCATTTTCAGCCACAATGCGTTTGAGTTGAAGAGACGGATCTGCTAGGCACTTAATGAAATTTTCGTTAGTATCATCTTCGATAGAATTTGTAAGTAATTGTAACGCATTGAAAGCATTGACATTATTGACGTGCCCTTGAATTTCTGCTGGAGTTAATAACTCATCATATGTGTCAGGTACATAACTTTCATTTAACGATCGATTACAAGCAGCTTCAGTTTTTTCATTTTTCGCTCGAAATAGAATACTATAGTAATCTTTTAAATATTGTACACGAATATTTTTTAAATTTGCTACAGGATTACAAAGGGCTTCTTTCAGTTTTTGTTTATTGGAATCTGTAAGAGCTTGATTGATGGCAATGACAGCAATATGTAGTGTTGCGGTGTCATTAGTCATACTATGTAGAAGCAAACCACCAATTTTTTGGAAAGCTGGAATCTGAATTCCATTTTTCTTCAATTCTTTACTCACTGCATCAATTTCAGCATCTAAAAAAAATCATTAATTTAATTGATTAACCATAAAAACTTTAACAGAATTAAAAATAATAATAGCTTAGCAATTTTTCCTACCAGTAAAGTTAATTTTTCCATAAAGATCTTGAATTTTTGGTGCTTTCCCTAATTTAAATAAATGTGTACTTAACGCATGGATGCAATATATTACTCGAGGCATATTTTTTTTGTCATAAATGTCAGTCGTTTCAGGTTGAAAAGTCTGCAAGTGTATGCATAATAAGTTGATCGTGCTTTGATTCAGATAAAAACAATTCTGCTGAATTTAACTGGACTTACTAATGGTAGTTGAATTGATTTTAAGCATTTTAAAAACATATTTATATTTTCAGTATGTTTAAATTGTAAACCAGCTATTTTAAATCGGCATTGATCCATGTCATATATTTTATGCCATGGACAACCCTCTGGATCCATGAAATGAGCTATTTTAGCTAAGTAGACTCCATTTCTCAAATTCTCTTCAAGTTCTGTTGTTGGAGGAAGTTTTTCTCTCAAGCATGCTTCTATCCATCTACAGAGAAAAATGATTACTGACCATTCTTATAGATTTTTGAATTAATCTGATAATCATGTAAATCAGTTACTACATTACTTTTTAGCTTCTTCCAAGTGACATAAATATTCGTAAACCAACGTTTTTTGTCGTTGTTCATCCATTTCTTCGGCTGATTTACGAACCTCAATATCTAAAAAAATATGATTCTTATTGTACTAGAGTATGAATTTTGTTTATGTTTAGATTTGATACAAAAATAAACGATATATTTATAACCTGAATCATACAATAATGCAAAAATATTTAATGATAAAAATAATTTCAAATATATCGTTAGGTTTATATAAAAGTAAATATTAATTATCACAATTTCAGTTTCTTTAAATATGATAAATTAAATTAATATCAGCTATACAAGAATAACTAAAAATATAGACACTATTTGGCCTTCATATTATTTTGATAACAGGTGCTTTTGACCAGTACTGGTTTGAATATTTTCTAATTGGATTTATGAGTTAAAATACAAGGAATTTACAAACCATTGCTCGGAATGATTGATTGAGTTTCTGCCCCCGTCATTTTTTATTGAATTATCAATAAATATCGTCAACAAACACAATAATTTCGAGAAATTTCAAACACAATCACTTAACGAACGTTACATCCTGAGAATTCAAACTTTAACGGTGGAATGGTGGTGGAAACTATATTCAATATCGAACTTTTCGAAAAACGGAGCATAATTGTAGTTTTATATCTTTTGTCATAATGGATTCTTATCCATGACCACACATCGGTAAATGGTTACCATACTGATCACACATTAATTCAGAGTTCATATTTTTAACACCAGGCTGCCAGTTGCACAGTCCATCACAAAATTGACATCACTGCGCAAACAACTTGATAAACTTCGATTTTTTACAATGTTGCTCCAAAAAATCTAACATGACGAATTATTGTTAAATTATCAATACATTTATTTCTAAAGTTAAAAACATAAATCATTCAATTGAAATCATTGTCACAATTTTGATGTCAATCATTTTGTATTACTTTTGAGATGTTGACTGATATTTTATATGAAACAAACTTGACAAAATTTTTTTAAGAAGATTAAAACAAAAACGGTATGTAATAAAAATATAACAATAAACTTAAATCCCTATGTATTCAGTCAAATATTGATCAATAACTACTGAACTCAACATTCTAATTAGTTATTAATAAATTATAACAAAAATCAATTATCAAGTTTATTAATTCTACCGTGTTAGTTATGTAAGCTACTTTTTTGTTAGCTACTCAATTGTTCATTCGTTTTTTTTTTAAATTTAGGCTCTGAGTTAGTTTTAAACAGTAAAATTGATGCATTGACTTTAATATTATCAACTATTACAAAATAATAATAAAGGAGTCATGGCATCAGCAGCTGAGCAACATCAAACTACTTTGGAATTCTATCAAGCTATGGCAGACTTCAAAAACATGTTCCCACAAATGGATGATGATGTTATTGAAGTAAGACATTAATTCTTTTGGTTGATAGACAATACTTTGATTATAAATTATTTCTCATATAATTATAGAATTTTTCATTGATCAAATAAGTAACTTGAAATAAATGATTTATGTATAGGCTGTATTACGATCCAATCAAGGTGCCGTAGACACTACGATTGATCAATTATTAGCCATGAGTACAGACAATGAGAATGAAAAGATAAGAAGTGAATTGGAGCAAAGTGATGCATCGCCCGACTCTCCTCAAATTACATCAAGCAGCAATAAATCTTCAAAAAGTATTCAGAAATGGAAACCTCCACTTTTAGGGCCTTTACCAGATAATTTTTTGAGAATTCCTCAACAAATGACAGATTTAACCGAAACACAAGATGCAGCAAGTGCTCAAGAAAGTTCTATGTTAGAAGATGAAAGTATTGCTATGTTCTTACAAAATGAAGAATTTATGGCTGAACTTAGATGGAATGAAGATTTCTTAAATACTTTAGAGCATGGTAAAGATATTTTTCTATTTAAATTAATTAAAAAATGTTTATATTCCCAATATTTTTTCTTTAATTTTGCATTAATTTTTTTCAATTTTATTTTAGATTTATTTATTTTTCAAACACAAAACAAAATAAGAAGTTCTCATTATAAATACACTCAAACACTGATGACGATTTTTTAATTAAATATTATAATTACTTTTTTTTTTGTTAATATTCTTGATTGATTATTAACAGATTCGAAATTACAAGGATCAGAAAAATGTAATTCTCATGATGAAGAAGATTTGTTCCGCGAACGACTTAGGAATATGGGCAAAGGTATTTTTAATTATTTCTTTTTTTTTTTGTTGTTAATTTTTAACATTCAAAAATATTTTTTTAGTATCTCGTCGTAAGTTTGCACAGCTTACAAAAGTTTTTACACGAAGTAAGAAGCGAGGTGGGAGACAATTATTACCACCAACTGCATCTTGTGATGATCTCTTGGATCCAGAAGAATCTTCTCGTCCACAAACTTAAAATCTCATGAATTAGTGCAATAATAATTTTAAAAATAAAACGAATGATATTAGCATTAATCAGTTCGAGTTTGAACCATTTTAGAGAGAAATTGAACTTTAAATATTTAATATTTAATAATTAAAAAAAGTTAATGAAGGAAAAAAAAACAAAAACAAAATGAGGTAAAATCGAAACGTATGTTTACTTAGTGATAGTTATTTAGTTTTTAAAATAATATTGGAGAGACTGAATTTAATCAGCGATAACTTTTTGACTTGCTTACTATGATAACTAATGAAAAGAAAAAGTACTTAAACGTTAATTACTTTAGTTACAAAAAATTTAATAATTCTTAATTGAATTTCTGTTATATAACAAATCTGTTTATTAAATGATTTTTCATTTTATTCATACATAATTTTTGTAGAAAATTTTTCAGGATATACACTGCATTCTAGTCATTGTATTTAACTATTAAATATGTCAATAACGAATTATTTATAAACAATTATTATTCATATTGTTAATGTGACATATTTATATAAAATAATTCTATCTTAGGATTAGTAAACAAATGTGAAGATAAAAAAAAACAAAAAAAAATTACATAAAAATTTGAAATTTAATAGCAATACATAGTTAACTGAAATTAATAATTCATTATTAATTGCTATTACCCAAGAAAAACAATGCTTATATTGTGATTTTTACATTATCAAAAGACAATTAATTCAACAAGTAATATACAGTTATGAAAAGAATAGAATATAGTTTAATTAATCAAAAAGTTGTATATCTATGATTAATCGATGAATTCATCGATATTTTATGAAAAAATAAATGTCATTGAGAATAACGTTTTTTTTTCAATCTCGACATAACAATAAATAACTCACTATCAATTAAATTTTGCCATAATGGATTTACGATTTAATTTATCTTATTTATTCACTTCTGGCTTAGAGAATTTATGTTTATTTATTATTTAAAAATACTATTATTCTTTGTTATTAATAATAATAAAATATTCAAATTCGAGCTCATTTCATTCATTATTGAATAATTGAACTTTGCAAAATGATTTAATAATCTGATTGTTTAAAAAAAACTCGAGCTCCTGACAAACTGTAGTAGAGTAATTGAAATTCTGCACTTCTTTCTGCTATTCTCTTGAGTGTCAAAGCTCGTGTTTGTTGTAGTTTTTCATCTTCACCTTCAATTTTTTCAGCCAATGTTTTTTCTTTGTTTAAATATTCATTTACAGTTTCAAACCAGTGTAGCCCATCTAACTCAGCACTTTGATCTAATAGAGCATTGATATAAGCAATTCCCATAGCAAATCCATCATCAGTGAATGCAGCACCAACTTTATTTTTTTTGAATATTTTTTCTTTATTAGCTACTGCATTATCAACAAAACTGAGCGTTAAAGGAGGTATAATAGCATAAAATTGTTGTAAATGATGAGATTTAGTATCCCTGAATGCTGATGCAAATACATTAACAAGTAGTTTAAAATATTGTATACCTTCTGTAAAATTTCTTACGAGATTTCCTATATCATCATCTAAACGTTTAGCTGCAGCTTGAGTACTTTCTGAATAATTCAAAAGTTTGCAAGTATTTTCAAAGGCCACTGGAGTATTGATATCAGGCAAAAAAGATACAGCATTAGCACAAGCATGTAACCCACCAGATCTGATCAATCTAACATACCCCAGAGCATTTCCAATTTGCGTAATAAGTTGTCGAAAATGATCGAGGTAGCTCATATCAGCAGACATTCCAAGTTTTCTGATACCTTTCTGAAATTTTTCTGCTCTTTCGTATGTATAAGGTGTCTCTTCTTTCTCTCTCTGACTTTTAATAAACCTAATATCCTTTAATAACCGTGATTTGATATGTTCATCGAAGAGAAATTGAGAGAAAGTATGGAGTTTAACTCTTAAAAATTGATAAACAAAATTTACTGTAGTACTCATAATTCCTGTACCATGAGTTCTTATAGAATTGGCTATATGCTTTATACCAATTGTGTTTAAATGTCTATTAGCACTGGTATGTTCGATAAAAGTTTGAGTATTGAGATTATACAAATATTTAGATACAAAAACATGAATATTTCTCATAATTTCTAAAGCATCCAAGCCTTGTTCAAGTGTTTGTGTAGGTAAATGATTCTGAACCGTTTCTAATCCCAGTTTATATTTAGCTAAAGCGTGCATTGTCTTATAAGTTTTCCAATCATGCAACGCTACAGTTGTAAGATTATAAAAAATATCATCTAAATAATGTTCAATGAATCTTTTACAACTAATAAAATTTCCAGCTATTGGAAGAGGTAAAGCATCGACAATTCTTCCAGCATCTTTAACTCCCACTTTGAAAGGATTCATTGAATCAAGTTTCAGATGTGCATGAACATGGAGCCGTAAACTCGTTTCAATTTCTCGACCAGAAGGTTCTAAAATATGTTTAGTCAAAGCTTCCTTCAGCTCCAAAACTCTTGTTTCTGTAAATTCTGAAGATTCTTGTCTAATCACAGCAGTATTAAAAGCATTTAAGAGGTGAACAACATGTGAAATGTCTTGGGTACTTTCAAGAATTGATGAGAAATAAGCAGGAATTATACTTTGATGATGAAGTAAAACACTATAGTTACAAACTTCTTTGATTTTCAAATCTAAATCAGCTATTGTATCATAATCATCAAGTTTTAATTTTAATTTGATAACTTCATCATCTTTAAAAGCATCTGCACGTTGTCTAGCACATGATAAAGCACATCTTACAATCAGTCTTCGATCAGCAGTACTAGGTCCGTTGATTAATTTCATACTTAAACCAGTCAATGACAAAGCATCGAGCTTTTCACGACTATATCCTTGATCCTTCTGAATAAGAGCTTTTCTAGCAGTCTCTAAGATTACTAAGATTTCATAACTAAGGCATTGAAGTGCACGTCCTTGTGCTTGAACCACCATAGGTCCTAGAGAGTATACAGAAGTTTCAAGAGTTTTTTGAATTTCAATAAGTCGACAAATTATTTGAACTGTGCTCCGGTTCATTGGTTTTGATAGCACTGCATGGACATTGGTAATAAAACAAACTAACTCATTAATTTGATTTAACAATGATATCACATCTTTAAGTAATAAATACTGTTTTTTAATATCGGAAATGTGGAATTCAGTTCCGTTTAATAAATTTTCTGCTTCAATACACCATAGCATAGATTTATGGGTCAAGTTTGCTGACACTGACGATAATTTTTGCATTCGTGATGTTAGAACTTTCTCTCCTATTTGGTGAATGTTTATTGAATTTCCAGCTTCATTTGGAATGTTTTCACTTAAAAATTTACTCGGTATCCAAATGATATTTCCGGTTAAAGTAACTGCAAATAATTTTTTATTTACTTCATTAAGCTTTTTAAGAAGCTTTTTATCACAACTGCCGAAAAATTTTATTAAAATAACAACACCAACATTTATTCTCATCCAACTATTATTAACTACTGAAATGTTTGCTATTTTATTTTCAATATCAGTCATAATATTTTTGAAATATGTTACTAAATGATCAACCATTACTGGGCTTTTTCTAACTTCCATCACATGATCAACTGCCTTGAGGAATATATTTTTTGTTAATAACTGATTTTGTAAGTCTTTCAAAAGCTTATCAAAAGTCATCAGTTTTTGTTCTGTTAACGAAAACTTTGATGGGTTGTGCATCAAAGATCGAACCTGAATTCGATACTTCTTCCATTGACCTAAAATTGATGGATAAGCTTCAATTATTTCATCTAAAGTTATCAAGATAACAAAAGAATCAATTAAATGTTCTATAAGTGCTGGAAGATATATTTCATTAGCTCCAATAGTTAAACTAGACAATTGTTGTATAGTTAAATGTATCACAGTCAAAATTCTATTAACATAAAGAGATAAATCTTGAAGATCTATTAATAATTGATTAAAATTATATTTTTCTTTAAAATCGGAATCACTTTTTTCACCATGGTTGAAGAGTTTTCGATAAAACTGAACAGATTCTTGTTTCAAAAGTCTTATCTCTCTACAAGTTGCTGCCACAGTAGCTAGAAGTTTTGATAAATTTTTATTTTCTATTTCTACTAAGGATAATATATTTTCATGATCATTACTTTGATAAACCAGTCTTAATGGTCCTTCCAGAATATACATTATTGAAGAAACACTTTCCCACCAATTTTCAGCCAGCCAATTGAATAATTGTCCATATTTTTTCAATTGCACATTCCCTGCTGCTTTATAAATTTCTTCATCTCTTCCTGAAGTCCAACCCGGTGATTCAATCATTTTTCACTGCTTTTAATAACTTTCTTGTAATTTTTCAGAAATATTATAGTAAATTTATAAATTTTTTTCTATAAAGATTGTCATAACCTGAAGCTTGTAGATAAATCTACTGTTTTCCAATTCATTAGCATCATTTTAAATAGTTTAGATACTTTTTTAATTTTCAGTTGAATACTAACGAAATATCTTTAATAACTGAGTAATATATTAGTAAATTATTAAAAATAAAGTAAACAGCTGTGAATACGCGTGTATTTGACAATTGTCAAATTAATTTTTTTTAACCAAGTTAGATATTATGAGGTAATCTGATTACAATTACACTTGTGAAACATCAGAAAATAAAAACCCCACCTGAAATCTGTCAAGTCAGATTTTACTGTTCGTGTTTGTCAATAGTTGTCGCTTCGAGGAAAGGTTTGAAAATTTTTCTTACATACGCGCGAAAATTATTCAATACTGAAAATTCTAGTGTCATCTTGCATATTTTATTTGCTAATGAATTGAATATGTAAGTAGATTGATTTTGATTAGATAGTATATGATTTCTATTTTTTTTTTATTTTAATGAATTTTATATGAAGATAAAAAATGAGTTGTGAAAAATTTGATTCTATACAAATAATTTTTATAACTTATTTTTTTAAAAATACTTAATCATCAACAGCTTCAATTGGAAATTCTAAAACGGGTATATTTTCTGTAGTTTTCGGTCGAATGATTGTTTTATAAAATCTTTCTTCAGCTAATCCTAGATCTCTTTGACTAGAAAAATTAAATTAAATTTAATAACATATTTATCTAAGAATATAAGAAAATAATAAATTAATATTCTTACAGTTTAGATTCTTCAGATCTAGGCTTTCGAACTGGGTTCCATTTTTGCACAGGAGAATCATTTGGAACCATTATTCCTCTTATACACAATGATAAATTCAGTTTTATTAAATTCAAATCCTATAACAAATACAAAACATTAAATTTCTTTTATAATTTAACAATTTATTTTGTAATGAATAAAATAATTAATTTACTAAACTATCTTTAAATAAAACATACTCACTTGCCATTCTCTTGCAATAACATCACTTAAACTCAAAATATTAGCAGAAGTTGCGACATGATCAATATTTGACATAGTGTTCAGATAATTTTCATGTAAAAATCGAAGAAAAGTAGTGGCTTGGGATGGAAAATGTGATGCAATATCGTCAGGATTATAAACAAATTTCCACGAGTCACCATCAGGTACTCGTTTAGGATTGATAACTCTACCTATTCCGTGTAATAAACCTAAACTTTCTTCACGAACTTCGCAATTGCTTTTAGATATACTATTAGGAACTTTTAGAGAAGCAAAGATTATATTCAAAATTGTACTTCGAACATCTCCAACAGTGTTAGACAATACTTCATCGATATGGTCTTGAGTTATTTCTAATATTTGATTTCCTTTGGAATTTAATATAGTAGCTACACGTTTTAACATATTCTTCATAGCATTTGCAGTTGTTTCTTTTACATTTATTGTATCAATATCAAACCTTTGTATAATTTCAGCCGGAAATAAAGTTTGGTAGACTCTACTTGCTTCTGAATCAGGACAAACAAAAACTAAAGGTTCTTTTCCTAGTTCAAAGTACTTTCTGTAAAAAAAAAAAAACCAGTATTATCAAAAAATGACGAATTAATTTTGTATTATTATTGTTCAAGTAAAAAAAAATTGACTAACGTTAATAGTTCGTAAAAACTTTCTTTATCATAAAAGAATACATTTGGAATGTCTTTGATCAGTAGTAACCGCCTAGAAAGTTGACCGCAAGTTTGTAAAACAGAATTATATCTTGTGGTGCGAATAAGAAACTCAAAAAATTTGTCTGCTTGTCTTGTAGACATATAATTTTCTCCAGCTATTCCTGAATCACTAGGAGTAATCCATTCTATCACATCAAACTTATTTTCTTTGGCTAGAACTTTCAAAGCCACTGTTTTTCCAGAGCCTGATGGTCCTGTCAGAACGAGAATAGCTGGCACTCCCTCCATAGTTTTATTAACTAGCCAATTTGTAATTTCATTTTGTTTTTGCTTACTGACAGCTAGTTCTGATGACTTCTTAGGGTCACAAGCCTCTAGTAGTGTTGCTATACTATTGATTTGATTTTTTTTTCTATTGAAATTATTAGACATATTATAAATATCATGCTTGATGCTGATACTTTTAGTAGAGGTACTTGAAGTGCTTGATTGTTTCATATTATTTTTGTAAGTTGAATTGTCATTATCTTTTGTAAAATAAGCAGTTAAATCAGCCCAACCGCTATCACTTTTCTGTAAAAATATATTTGCAGAATATTAACAACTGAACTTGAATAATTTAAGCATGTAATTTATTTGTGACAGGATAACCTACCATTTTCTTTATTGGAGGCATTTTAAATCGCAATTGATCAATAATGATTCTTTTTTTATACAATAAAATAATTTGTTAAAATTTATAATTTACATAATTTGATGTCTATTAGATAATAAATTTTATTTAAAATTATTCAACCTTTAAAATCACTGTCTTCAAATGAATCAGTAGTGTCTCGATCATATTTATTATTTACAGTATAAAACAATAACCTCCATGTGTCTCAAGAATTTTACTTTGTTGCCCTCTAGACAACACATATTTACTAAATTTGAATTAAAAATGTGACGAAATTAGCACTTGATGCATTAATAATTCATCACTTTTTACATAATTTATCACTGCATTTATCCAAGTCTTTCAAAAAAAAGCCAATTTGAATGAATTAATTTTTTAAGCGATAGAATATGTGATATTGTAAACAATAAATTCTTAATCAACAAATGTATTTATTATATCCTTTACTAAAACTTTGTTGTACGCAATTGAAGAATAATAAGAATTAATAAAAAAAGTAATTAATTCTAGAACTTGCATAAAATAAAATTTTTCAACAAAAATTTGGTAATAAACGCACAAATCGGCCAGAAGCTGTTGCCCCCTATCGGCCACTTTTTGAAACTGTTTGAATTGTAACGGCTTCGAATTATCTATGAAACGGAAATGAATAAGAAAATGTGCGAAAAACATTACTACACGTAATAAAACGACTGGTAATGTTTTCTTCATCTCTATTACCACAGAAGAAAACATATTTCCAATAAAAAATCTATAAATGGATGTTTCTATTGCGTCAAATAAGACTATTAGTACGTTTCAAGTGAATGTTCGTTTCGCATGATGATCCAAGATTTAATGCGGATCTCTTTCATACACGTTTACCTTTTTTCTTCTCGAATCAAGAAGGAATCAACTCTCTCCCTGGCAATGAACTTGCCAACATGTTGCTAGTATACTAGTGACTACGATACTGGTCACTCCTTTAACTCTTTATAAACTTACGGTATCGCGATTCTCACTGGGTTAAGTGTTTTCATAGCCATTTTGTGTTGAAATATAAATAGAAATAACTTATTTTTTTAATGTCTTAGTGATAACTAGATACTTTGCTATTTTTATAACCAAGTATTATTATATTTATGTGAAAATGCTCTTTAGATTTGCAATTTTTGTGGGACTTGGATCCGTAGTTGCTACCATCATTTATTTGACTCCAATCCCTGGTGAGTAAAGTTCAAATTATTTTCAAAGCTCCATCAAGGGGTACTCTGTAAAAATAATAATCACAATTAAAATATATAATTAAATACTATTTACAAGATCAAAGCTCATATAATTCAAGCAAATAATATGCAATAAATAAAAAAATGTTTATGAAAATAAAAATGAACTACAAGTTAACCTTTGTCATAATCAAATTGAAGAGGTTAAATTAAAAGCTAAACTTAATTCAAGTTGACTACATATTAATAAATTATCCAATAAAGTTGAAAATTATGATAAATAAAACAAATTTTGTTCTTTCCAAAAGTATAATTTCTTTAAGGTTCATAAATTCAAATAAGTTTAAGTCTGAAGTAAAGTGAAAGTGATGTTTTGATAACAATCATTGTCGGACAAGGAAAAATATAAAATGGAAGAGTTTCACTAAATAAAAAAAAATATTTCCTGCTTTATGAATTTCTAAATTTGACGGTAACTACTTAATTGCACGTTATATTTAAAACTATCCTAAAATAGAAAAATGGTTAAAGATTGGAAAGCAGCATGGGAATAAATTTATCACCACAATATTCAAGAGTCTATGAAGAAAGAAGACAAAACTTACCGTTCAAAATGAAACCTGCTTTCCAACGCTCCAGTGATGTAGACATTTTATTTTATACATAAACGCTTTTGCAGACTGCACACACGAATAGGCAGCTTGGTACAATATGTGAGTCGACAGCGAAAGCGAAATCACTCTCGGTCCACACAAGCAGCAGAAAAAGGAGAAAGGTCACCAGATGAAAGTGTTCAAGTGCTAGAAAAAGATGTAGATATTTAAGTAACTACATTAAATATATGGAGAAGAGAGACAAAAAACAAAAAATACCACAAACCTTTAGGTTTTAGACATCCAAGCAACTTTCACTCTCTTAGTGGACACATATTTGCCAATCATCAGAAGAATCATCCGTTTTTATTACTTATGGCCACTTTAATTGACTTCTCTGGCCAAATTACCTTACCGAGGCATTAGTCAATGAGGTGATAGACAAATGTTGGACAAAATATTCTCCTCCTTTCATTTACTTTTGGAGTTAAATCGTGACGCGGCCAAAGAACTCGTCAGTTGATCGCTGGTTGGTTGAGTGTGATAGTCCGAAACTCCACGTAATTCTGACTTGCTTCTATTTCCTTATTTATTTGTTTTATAACACCAATAAGTATTGAGTTTATTTACCATTTCGATGCTATATTGGTTATTGAACCGGTTACTTATCTAATTAGTTGTTTTTTAAAGACCTCTGTGGAATCTTTCTGTTTTATAATTATTTTTAAATGAAAATCTAGGTTGTTTGCATCATGACTTGCATAGGAAAAATTTTTCGTAGCTTTTACTATGAAAGTATAAGTAAAATACTTTAATAAATAAGATGCAAGAGAATGAATAGCTATCAAAAAAAATGTGTAGTGCCATGTGAGATCAGTTTCATTTAAATTCGTTCAATTTATGGTCATGTAATTATAATAAGCAATGCATCAAAAAATTGGTCAATCAATATGAATTTAATTTATTTAATAATATAAAAATCAAATGATAATAAATCAATAATTATTTTCCAATTATTTTTAAAAATTCAATTTATGTAGAAAATTATTCTTTGTTTGCTAATTAAAATTTTAAGTAAGTTATAATTGCAATGAGAAAGGAAATATTTGACTAGTAAAGGTATCAAATTAATTAAAACATTTAGATACTATAAATAGAAACAATAAGAGGAAATAACAACTATTTTGCTTTTTTTATTATTATAATGCCTAGAGTAATTATTAATTTATATAAGACTGTATAAAATTTTATTGTTTAGCACATCAAACACCTGATAGCATATAATTTATTTTAATACAATGTTATGTTTTTTTAGTTTTAAAAAGAATTTAAAGTTATCCATTGAGTCACATTCAATGGAATTTAAATGATATAATAAATAAAATGCTCATCAAATAATATTAATAATTACAATTTCATAATATTTCTTTTACTTATACTTTTAATGCAATTGCTACTATATTATAAATAACACTTTTTGTGTATTTAATTACTTTATAGCTGAGTAAAATAATATCCTTTGTTTGCAGTTTAATGTCTGACAGTTTTCTCCAAAAATTTTTGCATCAATACCACAATCATTAAAAAGTAAAACATTTTTAAATTTATTTTAAATTAATTATATTATTAAAGTAATTATTTGCAAGTGAATTAAATTTTTGCTTTCATAAAACCTTGCAAAACATATTAATAACTGAATTTTTGTTACCAACCAGACAAGGTCGTTCATGCAAATTCGACCTTGACTTTAAAAACTAGCATGACAAGATTAAAAAATGTTGCAGTTTTAAAATCTGTGATAATGAGGGAATAAAAAAAATATTAATCATGTCTTCGGATAGTCTTCCTAGTCACAGGATGACACGACGTGGACTATCAGTGGTGAACTACTTTCTTCGTATGAGCATTGTTATCTCAATGACATTATCAGCTGCAACCTTCTTACACTTTTGTAATTACAGACCTAGTAAGTTTGCAATGAAGAAAGAATTAAGAAGCAGACTAACAATAATCACAAACTTTAGTGAAAGTTTTGGTACCTCAATAAAAGTAAAAGTTGGCGAATAAATTCGCTTTCGTTATGATATTCTCATTTTTTTAAATTCAATCATTTGCATTTTTTTACAGAGCAAACCTTCCTATCATGTGATAGACCCTGTCACCACCTTGACTGGCCCATGATTTGTCGAGTGAAACTCAATTTAGAGCCTTTCTTTACTCTAAGCAAGTAAGAAGCGAAAATCAAACTTTAGTTAATTAATTGACATTTTTAATTAATTAATTCTAATCATTTAATCATCGATTCGCTCTATTTAGCAATTTAATTCTTTTTTTGAGTTACTAAATATTAAATAATACTTAAGTAATATTATATCACTCTCGAAAGATTGCATCAAACTCGTAACGGTACATGGTCTAGCCATTAAATTGTGCACTTGGTGCCGCTGCAAGAACCGTTATGTAATAGTCATACGTGATGGATGCAGAAAATACGGAAGAAAAGACTAAATAGCAACTTGTTTATTTAACCTCGTTGATGTGAATCCTACTAAATTATCCGTTATCTTTTTTCAGATCATGTGGAGACTGTCCAATCAATCAAACTGCTTGTTTAGCTGATCATTGCATCACTGCTGATGGCCAACATCGAGGTGTTCTTACTGCGAATCGACAATTACCAGGACCTAGTATTCAGGTACTAGTAAAATTACATTCGACAATCCTATGAGAATCACATTTTTTGATGTTTCTCTTCTTGAAAAAAAATTATCCTGTAAAAATTACTGACATCCTTCTATTTTACAACGTTAAGAAGCTTTCTCCTTGATGATTATTTCCTGCAAAGCTGATCGATTTGGTTTTTTCTGAAATATGTAAATAGGCTATCAATTAAAAAAATCTTGCTCGGGTGCAAAAAGTCGATTGAAATAATTATATATGTGTTATAATTAAAGAGACAGCAGAAACTGAAGCAGAGTGGTTTTTTTAGTTCTTATCAATATTGAATAAAAATTTTTCAATACTTTTATTATACAATAAAATGACTCTCATATATCTTGCATGAGAAAATACTTATAGATGATAGAGGAGATGATTTCCAATTCAATTAAATTTTATGAAGCTATGTAGTGAAAAATCTAATATTGTAGAAAAGTACTTTTTGTTTATTGATTGAAGGATAATAATTTTTTGGATTTCTTATGAATTATGATGTAAAATATCTTATAAATAAATTCAAAGTTGCTTTATTAATAAACTATATTTTAGTAAGTTAATAATTTTTTGACGATAAAAAAAGTATTGAAAAATTATTTAAAAAATCGATTTCCTATATTAAAAAATGTTGATAAAAATATTTGTATTTTTTAGTCCATAAAGAGTTGTTTTGAAAAATAAAAATATTATAAGAGTATCGATTTCATCATCCACCATTGGATGATATTTAATTAGTTACATTTTCGAATGAAAGTAACAAATCCTCTTTTCAAAGACAAGTTTTAAGAATAAGAATTACTTTCTTTACTCATGAACACTCTCTTAATCAATGTATGGTATACATATATTAACTTCGATCGAATATCGAAGTAGACACAACTTCAACTTCACTTTTTATAAACAACCAGTTTCCGGTTTGTGTGTACTTTGTCTTATAATATCACATTGATTTAATCTAATTTCTATGCAGTCATGTTAAATACAGTATTTAGATATGCTTCGTACGATACTGATTTCTAATTTGAGTTAAATTTACATTTAAATAATAAATCGAAGGTAACTTTTTGTTATTAAATATCATGAAAAAACGGTGTATAACTGAAAAATTATTTTATAAGTAAATATTAATTAAAAAATTATTATGAGAAAGTTAAAAGGCAATTTTATTTAGCGAACACGTTTTTATCATTACTTCTTAACCAGCATTAACTTTCCATTAAAGTCATTCCAAATGCTTCACAGATGATTTATTTGCTTATTATAGATGTTCAAAGCAGTTAGAAGAGAGAAAAGAAAGTATCATAAAAACTATACGCACAACTTAATAAGATAATAACTATAGTGTATTTATTTAATTATTGTTTAATCTTCTTTTCAGGTCTGTGAGAATGATATTCTTGTGGTGGATGTTGTAAACAGAGTACCAGGAAAAGCAGCAGCGATACATTGGCGTGGGCAGAATCAGAAAGAAACTCCTTGCATGGATGGAGTTCCATTAGTAACCCAGTGCCCTATTCCAAGTTATACAACCTTTCAATACAAATTCCGAGCATCTGTACCAGGAACTCACCTTTGGCATTCACACTCTGGTTAAATTTTGATGATCAATTTTAGCGTTATTTTATCATAACGCTTTTAATTTATTTCTTAGATATTTTTTTCAATTTTGAAGCTGAAAAAAAATTGCACTCACATTAATCTCAATTTTAGCAATGAAAATATTAAAATGTTTGATATTATTTTTAATCAGTGTCATCATTTTTTAAATTAAAAAACTTTCCTGTTTATAACATTTTTATTCATTGCTGAAATTGTCATGAACGTTCAGAAGCTTATTAAAAATGTATGAATTCTTGGAATAATGAACATGCATTCTTTTTTTATTGTCACTGTCAAATAATAATAATAATTCATGATTATTTAAAAATTTTAAACGAAAGCATAATTAACATACTCTGAATAATATCAACATACAAATTTAGTCAATATTTAACAAAAAAAACAAACATAAATTATTTTAGAAATGTAATTTTAGCATAAAATTAAAATATTTTATCCTAGAACATTGACCCAAATTTAGAGATTATTTTTTCTACCAAAAAAAAAAAACGTTTCTTTAAATACATTATAAATTTTTTTATTCTTAGGAGCTGACATAGCAAACGGTATCTTTGGTTCGCTAATAGTCAGACAGGCTGATGCGCGAGAACCGCATCGAGCTCTTTATGATGTTGATGACCCGGATCATGTGTTGCTTGTATCCCAATGGCATCATTCTATTGTAACAGAAACTGGAGTACTGGCAAATAGAAATAAAAAACCAGCACTTTTACTAATCAATGGAAAAGGTCGTCAGCCTAATGGACCAGAAGTTCCTCTGTCAACATTTACAGTCTCTGCTGGAAAGAGATATAGATTCCGATTAGCGCATGCTGGTGGAGCTAATGCTTGTCCAATTACATTTACAATTGAAGATCATCTTTTAAACTTAATAGCTCTTGATGGGAATCCCGTGAATCCAGAAAGAGTTGGATCAATTACATTGTCAAGAGGAGAAAGAGTAGACTTTGTTTTAAAAGCAGATCAAAGTGCTTCGGTTTATCGAATTAGTGTTAATACTAATAAAAATTGTGGCTCCAGTTCAATTTTTGGATCTGCCTTGTTAAAATATACTCGAAAAGGAGAATTGAATTCAAAAAAATATTATCAAAGTTTTTCAGGGGAAAAATCAAGTAATGAAGTAGATATGACAACAAGTCCTGTTGACAAATGTGGTTCCCCTGATAATTTATGTGTTGGAGACATTAAAGCTCTCACAAGTTTACCTAGTCCACTTGATAATCCTCGAGTAGATGTTACAATTTATCTACCTATTAATCGACGGAAACATCTAACAGAAAACTCTGGTAAGTTTACTTAGAACACAAATGAAGTTGTTTCAATAATGTGTGTAATCAACAAATGAAATCAATTTTCCGATCTTTATCCACAGCTTTATCGCTTGATCTAGAGACGAAAGTAATGAGTATCAAGAATGCAACGTTCACATATCCATCTTCTCCATTATTGACTCAAGGCTCTGATGTCCCTGAGGAAATTCTATGTACTGAGCATGACACTAAAACGTCTGGACGATGTCGTCAACTAAACGGCATTACTTCTTGTGAATGCGTCAATACTCGGAGGATTCCCTTAGGGTCTTCTGTCGAACTGATTTTAATAGATCAAGGTGAAGATAATTCCATTTTTTTTTTAATTTCTTTGAAAAGCTTTTATCATCAGTTATTATTCAAAACTGATAATTGAATGAAGAAAATAAAAGTAGATGTTTGAGGAAAATATTAGTCAATAAAAAAAAGTCATATTCTGAATAGCTTTGGTAAATGGCCTGATCAACAAGCTAATAAAAAATAGATGAAAAGTTTAATGTTCAGGAGTCAGAATGTTTATGTATGATAATATCTTGGAGAGAAGCATTTGGCATACTTTAACTTATTGAATGTTTATTGCTAAGTACAGCAAACATGTGAGTATTTAAATAAATATAAAATGTTGATGTATTTATGGTGATACTAAAATATAAAAGCCATATTATTCAAGTCCAGATATTTGTTTTTAGCTTGATTCTTTGAAAGCATTATCATCCATTCTTTAATGATAAAGAATAATTGTTATTACTATATTTTCTCTATTGCTACTAATCTATAAATATTATTCAGATGTAGTGTCTATTAACTTGAATTTTAAGTTGAATTAAATTTTTATAGAATTGATTAACACGAATTATTTTGTAGAAATACCTAGAAACTGAAAGGTGTTTTATAATTCATACAAGAAATAGATGGTAATTATTGCAAGTAGATTTCACTTTTATTAATTAAATATAACATCTATGATATAAAATTTATTACAATGCAATTAATTTGCGGCTTGTACTGTGTAAAGAAATTAATTAGTTATATTAATCAGACAAAAAGCTTTACAAAAAAGGAAAAGTTATTTATATGTAATGTCTTAGATTTTTTTTTTTATTTTAATAGTTTGACGAAGCTAATATATTTGTGTTGAAATGTCATTTACTAAAGTTCTTGTTCAGAATAATGCAGTTAAATTTAGAAGCAATTTATAAATCAAGTGACTTCTAAATAGAAATTAATAATTCGATGAAAGCTATAAGATAATGTTACCTTTCTTTTATACATTATCGATTTTTCATCAAACCCATCGCGATTTTCGTTACGTCGATATTTTTGCTTGAAATCTAACACAAGCTGAGTTTGTCTTCAGGACATATATCTTACCATTAGAAAAGTTAAAATAATATCGGAAAAATTTTGAAAGAACACATGTTCTGCTAAAAAAAGTCAAATGATCGAAATCTTCCAATTCTTTACATCAACCAGTTTACTATTTGATCTGAACTAACATTAAGTTTGATTCGTATTTTTTTTAAATGAATTTTTCCATGTTCAAATCATTTTATTTTGCTATTTTAAATTTCGATGGTCGATTTAACGTTGATTATATTGGAAAGTAAAAGATTCAGTAGAGAATTGGATTTAAATGTTATAAGAGTAGATAGAGATTGACCTGATTTAGATAATACAATTCTTCAATAGCATCTATTCTACAAATTAGCTTTTCTTCAACAAATATCGTAGATTTGTTCATTAATTTATTAGCTACAGTTCTCATAGATAAATTTTATGGACAAAGTAAAATTTAAAAAAATTACTCGATATTTCATCATAACAATACCTAAGTTTACACAATGTAAAGATAAAACTTTTTTTAAACTCGCTAATTTAATCTAATTCAAAAAATTGTTTTTAAATCAAAGCATACATAAACTAAGGTTTGCATTTAGCAAAAGATGCATTTTGTTCAATAAACATTAGAACCATCGTTAATTTTTATTAAATTACAGTAATATTCTCTGAGGATTTCTCACCAACAATAAGTTTTATGGATCGATAAAAACAAGTTCTATTAAATTTTAATCATGATTTTTACATAATAACAGAGTGCTTCTTTATGAATAATACATACACCATTTTATTACATCAAACAGCACATTATTAAAACTGAATAAGATAATAACAAGTTTTCTTAATCAAACTCTAAGGTTGAAATTAAAATTGATATCCATATTAATATTTTTTCCTTAACATCTTCAAAAAATGTGTAATTAATTTGATGACATGAAATTAGTTTTCTTTTGTTAAATTTTCTTTAAGATTCATTACTATATAATGCATACTCCTTAAAACTATTCACTTAAGTCTTTAACTTCTCAAGATACTTCTTCAAGATTTCAATGTCTTGTTCAAAAAAAATAAGGAAGGATAATCTCGAATAAGCCTTGATCTACATTCTCTCCACTACATGACTCTCAACTCGAAAAGTATTGATTATATTACTCACTAAACACTTTTAGTACGGTTGTGGTACTTATATCTTCTTCCTTTATCTAATCTCTTTCAGTTGATCCTTAAATATATGAATCCACATGTTGAACAGAACTTTTCTTTTGCAGAATTTATTCTACCCTCTGACTTCTTATTTTATTCTAGCTGGACGAGATGACCTAGTTTTTCATCTGCATGGTTACAGTTTTTACGTCGTAGGAGCTAGAGCATTTGACCGAGAAAAGAGCTTTGATGAAATTAAAGCAATGGATGAACAAGGAATATTGTTTGCAAGAAATCTCATCTCACCAGTATTGAAAGACACTATCACAGTTCCTAAATTTGGTGCAGTTGCTTTACGTTTCAAAGCTGATAATCCAGGTAACTTATTACTTTATTTCAATTTCCTTTCTTCTATTAATTTAATTATTCAGACTTAGCTTCTTTGCATAACATGGCAAAGAATTCAAACGTTATTTCCATTTATTAATACTCACAAAAACTTCACATAAATGAAATAAGATATGAAAGATTTTTGCCTTTGGGGAAAATTGTTTTTCAGTAGATTTGATAATTATAATTGCTTCTATTATTTTTCTTCTAGATGTTTGATTTCCTTCAAATTAAGATATTTTCACGCTTACTGAGTCTTTCGTGGGCGTTAATTAGTAACATTAAAACATAATTATCGTGTTTTATAGAACTTGATGTCGTTTTCACGGCATTCATTCGATTTTGAATAAAGAAATAAAGAAAGCATAAAAATTGAATTATCATTAATCAATTTTGTAACTCATTACATTGAAAAATAATGGTTCTATTATTTCTGAAACACGAGATTTTTATTTTAGGAATGTTGCCCACGTTTTGGAAAACTTTTTAATAGTAGAACAAGCTTCATTAAAATATTACACCGTAGATATTTAAATATAGACTTGTAAAAATTACTATGTAAGTTTTTCGTGACAAAAGTAATGTTAATCGATGTTGTTATTACCTAGACTACCAATTATTGATACAAGAATTTTTATAGTAGCATTTAAAATAAATTTAAGAATTAAAATTGGCGTGAATTGAACTCATTTTGAATTAAACAAATATAATTAATATTTAATTATACTTTACAATAATTGTTTAATAAAAAACAGGTAAATTAATTATAATTATGCAATCATTATCAAGTGATCAATTAAAAATATAATAAAATTTTCATAAACTGCGGAATTGCGTGATGAGTTTGTCGTGAATCATCTAAACACTTGAAAGAGCTTGACTGGTTTCCCTCATGTTTGCTTCTAATGAAATGATTTATGTCCTATTAATGTCACTGACATACAGGCTCTCTGAAAACAATATCATTCCATAGCTTTTATTGTATGGAATATTGATTAATAATATATTAATTCACAGCAGCAAGATTATAGAATATATTTATATCAAAAACTTAAAAAATATCCTGAAATAAATAGTTCATAATTTCACTCATCATCATCATTTAAGGAAATAATTCATACAATTGATTGAATGTTAAATGAGTTATTTTTAAAAGTAACTAACTTAAATTAATATCTAGTAAGTTCAACTTCCATTGATATCAATTTATAAACTAATAAATGATAAAGTCAATCGATCAGTAGGTTGCATAAAATGCATATTCCCATTGGTATAATTTAAACTATTACTCAATTTTATGTAAACATGACTGTCCTTGATATTCACAGGATACTGGATGTTGCGTGACGAGAATGCACTGGAGTGGACACGAGGTTTAGACGTAATTTTGCAAGTTGGAGAACCCAGTGACATGGTACCACCGCCCCAGGACTTCCCCAAATGTGGATCATTTGTTGGACCTGATTATTTTCTCATTTAGACTGATTTTGTAATAATTAATTAACAATAATTATATCAATTATTGTTATTAAATCTATTAAGTTCAATTACCTTTTAAACGCTGTAAATAGTGCTTTTTGAATACATATACATTTTTATATTGTTTATGTTAATATAATGTTCTCGATTTGATAAATAAATTTCACATTTTCTTTGATTAATAGGCTATAAAAGCTATTTTTACTTTTATTCGTTTATTTTTATTCTGAATTGGTTTTTTTCCATCCAATTAGTAAAAACTGAAGAAAGAAAATTATGATATTTAATTACAACATATTGTTTTAAAAAACTTGCATTTATTCTAAGAGCAAAAATGAATTCTTTTTACTAAATTCAACTAATGATTGATTTTTTCCCTTTCTTCACTTTGCTGACATTACTTATTGAAGATTAATATTTTTCTCACAATATTTCAATATAATAATTCAGAATATGATACAGAAGTTTTGAAGAAAATAAACATTCAAAGTGTGAAGCATAATTTTACAAAAATATTTCTTCCAACCTACTAAAGTTGGGATCCAACTTTTTACTGTGATAGAAAAGTGGATAGAAACCACTAGAAGCTTTTCGAGTAATTTTTTTATCAATTAAGGGGTTAAAAAGGTCGAGCGAAAATAATGCCCATGAGTATTCATATATGTTTATAACCTTAGAAAGTTCCAACTTTTATGGCATATGAATTTTCAAATACTCTCTAAAATAATAATGAAGCAGGAAAAGTATTGTATACTTTAGTATCTTATTTCATCTCAGATTTTTTAAAATTCTAAATAAAAAATGTTATGTTCCATGTCAGGTAATATAAATAATTAGACAATGAAGATGTTTTTTTTTTATGTATGATCTTCAAACCTTAGACTTTAATGAGCTCGTGTATACACACGCACCTTCTCTGCAATTTTCATTTTTATCAGCATCAGAATTTACTACAGTAAAGTTCAAGATGGATCTTTCATTCATCAAGACAAAGATGAACTTAATAAAAAATTATCACTTTTTATTTCATTTATTAAACAAAATACTATCAATTGAGGAATATCTTCATGTGTGTTTATTTCTGAAACTTCAAATGTTGTTCATCTGATTTGTATCATCATTGAATTTTTTGACAGCTCAATTGTCTCTGAAAATAAGCATAGATTTTTCTGAAACACTAGTGTAGAGGAAAATAAAATTAAAAAAAATATATATAATTGGTGTACTTACAAAGAATTTTTGGTACTAAACATGTCTTGTTTTTATCCGGCGTGGTTACAAATTTGTACATACATTTTGGAGCCTCATGAAATTGCTTTGCTTCAACACCCAGTCTTTCGAGAGTATGCCAAGATTGTTTTTAGTCCAGACTTTAGTCATACATTCCCAACATTCATTTTCGTCTTGGCTATTTACATAGCTCTGCAAAGGAATTTAAATTTGAGTTGGATCAAAACACTATTCAATATGAAATTTTTTTCCAAGTTTATTCGTGTAAGATTTTTCATCATTGATTTATTAATTTTTCATTATTTATTTAGTTTAAAATAAACATACTCATTGTTGCTAACTATTATTAAATTAAAAGTTGATTAGAAATATATTTAAATCACTATTCTATAGATTCTAGTGATCTGGAATATCATCAATGCAGCTCTATGGTATTGGCTGATCATGCAAAGAGTTCTCTACTGCGTCATTTGGACTAGTTGGCGTAATGTGAGTAGAAAAGACCAAATGATGGTCATTATTTTTCTTTTATACTATTAAAAGGTATCTGACATGGTTAATCAGTTAATAAAAAATTTATTTTATTATCAACCATCTGAATTATATTTGATAAAATATATCTGACTGAATATATTTCAATGAAATTATCCAACTAGTCTTGTTTCAAAACTATAAACCATATACCATTCTGGTCTCCACATCTTTTTTTATCTTTTAATGCTCGTAAAAGCTCAGACATAGAATATACTGTTCTGCTTTGTATTCTACATTTCATGTATTTATATATATGTTTATTTTTCAGGAATCAGAGCTTCCGGAGGTTCATTATCCCTGGTGGAAGAAAGTTTTTGCCTCTTTTGACCCTCCACCTGAAGAGCCAATCTTATCAGCTAGCTTTGTGAGTTGGATAATATCAATGACGATAAGTGGAGTGTTTTTTTATTTTGCTATTTATATGGATTATATCATTAGAATCGTACAACAATTTTTTGAAGCTCTTAAAACATACTTTAAAGCTGCCAGAAAGTGGCAAAAATCATCGTTGAAAAATATCAAAGAATTAAAATCTTGTAAAAATAAAAGAGATACTTCAACTGATAGACTTAGATTAGCAACAAGTTGTAATGATCTTGGATCAAATACATCAGTTGACTGTGCAGTGCCTCAAGTAGTTAATAGAGGAATATCTCCCATTTCTTATGGTACTAATTGGATCCTTCCACCAAATGGCAAATTGAAGAATGAAAAAAAGAATGATGAATTCAAAGTATCGAAAAGAAATTTTTTACGTCCAAACGATACAACAAGTTGTTTTGACTAATAGATTATTTTATTTTTTAATATAGTCTTTTTTTATTAACACTAATTTATTATTATATAATGATAATATTATTTTTAATAGAAATAAACATTTTAATAATCAAGTTTTTTGGTAATGTCTTAGTTTTTGAATTATATCTCTCTACTAATGAGGTTATATTATCTAGAATTAATCCAAAAAGTTATAAATTATTTAAACTCATCAATTTATTGAATTTTAGGAAACTAACCAGTTTCCAACATCTACTTGACATCTGCAATTCACTCATTCCTTACTCTCCAGCATAAATGTTACTTATTATTTCAAAAATTGCAAATAAAATTATTCTCCCAATTAAATGAACCATTATCAGCTTCAATTACCAATATTCAATGTTTCAAACTTTTGACTGTATTAGCAAAGATAAATAACCTAATCGTTAATTTTTGTATATTCAAGTTTATTCTCATGACTCTGTAGAGCAGAATTGCGTCGCAAGGGTGTACCGAGGTTTGTAAACCACCCCTCAACTTAGGAGGTTAGCGCATGCGTGAAAAGATTTATACTTTCTACCCTGCATTCAAGCGTTATTCTTTAGCGGTAACCCTTGTGAGGTAGGTCACCCTGTGAGTTTTTTTAATTACATCGAATCTACAGCAGTGAATCTAAATTAGCATCGAAATAATCACAAGCTTACATATAGGAATACTTATCATCACAAACGTGTTTCTAAACATCAACAGAAGTGATTCAATCAATAAAAGCTCAAAACATCACAATCTATGATCATCTGGAGGCGGTGAAGACTAGGCCGGCTTATTTAAACTGGTAAGCACAAAAATAGAAGTTAATTAACGGTTATTATTGATTTTTTTGTGTACTTTGTGTTATCTTAATCATGACATACGTCATTGTTGAATGGATTGTGTGCAAAGTTGTTATCAATTCGTGTGGCTCATTCGATATACTATTGGAGTCGAGGGCTATAAATGCCAAAGGGAAGGGAGAAGGTCGGCAGCTGTGTATTATTCAATACTCCAATGAGGCTTTTTTCAATGGAATTCATTCATTGGTTTTTTTCTTTTATTTCACAAATATAAAGTATAGAAAAAAAATTGAAGAAAACATTACATGTTGAATAATATAAAGTGTGTTTATATTAGTTTGTAAGCTTCCACGTGAGTGAGTGAAGTATGATGCAAACGTCACTATTGATTTTAGCCCAGCATCCTTCTCTTTCTATTGAATTGCACACGTGTGCGCGTGTTCACACGAGGATGCACCTCTCCCACCACTTTATTTATTTTTCATAATGTATTTAGAAAAATTGCCTCAATTTATTTAGTTGTTGTTGGTGGCAATCAACTAGACTTTTCACTTATTTGGACATTATTTTTACTTAAAGTAATTAATCACATTTGTTTTTTCTTAAAGCTTCTTTATAAATAATTATCTGTTGTGAAGAAATAACTTTTTAGGGTAGCTAGAATTGTTCATAGTCTTTGCAATTCTTTTGGATGTTTATAGATTTTTATTGGCAGTGATAATCAATATGCCGGTAGTTTGGAATAGATTTTAAAATAGAATGATTGTTTGGTGAAAATATAGCGTGACTTGGTATCATTACAGGAATCATGACCGAGAAAATGTATTACTGGGGAGAAGAAAGAGAACCGGTCGATCCGGACCAGACGTTCATCGAGTTCAAGGCAAAGATCTCGAGTGCTGGCGAGTCATCGCGTGCTGGTGGAAAGAAAATCGTCATTTCTCCCCAGGGAAGAGCTAACGAGGTTGGAATTCGCGAAGATGATACTGAACGTGGTGGTTGGGACAACAAACTTGACTTTCTCTTCTCATGTATCAGCGTGTCTGTTGGTCTAGGAAATGTCTGGAGGTTTCCGTATTTATGTTATAAAAATGGAGGCGGTGCATTTCTCGTTACCTATGGAATTGCCATGGTTTTCTGTGGGATTCCTATTTTCTTCCAAGAAGTGGCAATTGGTCAATATCTTGGAGCCGGAGGGATGACTCTGGTGGGCCAGTTGTGTCCTCTTCTTCAAGGTAATCTTATAATCCTACTCTAAAAGCATAACACTTCACAACTTTCATTATCTTACAATTTTTATTCAATTATCACTAACTATTTGCTAACTATCAACTCATTCTTTCCATTATATTTCTAAACTTTTCATAAAAAAAAATTGATAGATACATTTTTTTGTCAGTTAAAAGGGTGATTTACCCTAAAGTAGATTTTCTTGTTTTAAAGTTTTTTTTTCATATCTACTGATATCACTTAGCAGAGTAAAAATCAATAGCTATAATTTTTAGTTTGAAATAAAACATAATATAAGAATGTATTAACTTTAATTTGATAAAAGATAAAACAGGCTTGAAGAATAAAAAGGACTTTTATTATAGTATATTATGCAAGAGATAGCGTGTATGAACAGTATGCTATTCAAATTAAATTAATTAAATTGATTACTTTTTTTGTAAATATACATTTTTAAATTAATGTTTTTTTTTGTTACTGACAACTGAAAACTCATATAGATCTTATTTTGCTTTTACTGATAATGAAATAGAATTTTATGTTTTGGAACTTGTTAACTCGAGGAACACTTGCTGTGGTAATTGGTGAATGTTTTTCTCACATCATATTGAGAGTTATTATATTTATAAGCATTGGAAATTGAATTTAGGTTTGACATACATATCAATTTTATATGAAATAATTAATTTACTCAAAGAGTTATATAACAAATCAGGGTTTTCTTATATTTTATTCCTAAATCTATTTTTAAATACAAGTAATTCATTTTTATTTTTATCAAAGTAATGAAGAAAAAGTAAAATTTCCAATTTTTTACAAGAAACATATAACTATCATGAACCAATTTATATGAAAGTTTTCTACTAACTTAAATACTTTATAACAAAAAAATTTGATTAATAGAATAATTAAACATTAATTATACATCATAAGAAAATCTTTAAGAATGTTGGAGAAAATATATCCTTTGTTCATTCATGAATATTTACTGAAAAAGTATAAGAATATTTAATAGAACTAATAATAAAAATAAGGAGAAAGTTACTCTGCAAATAGTTGAGCATAATTAAACTTCTATGAAATTCTTCTTCATGCTCTATCAGGTATTAGAAAAGATATCCAATATTCACGTGTTATTATACATGACTAATGTGTTCTATTTAACAGGTGTTGGATATGCCACGATGACTATCGTATTCTTCCTTGATGTCTACTACTGTATAATAATAGCCTGGACACTTTTCTACCTCATCAGCACATTTGCGAGGCTAACCAAGTTGCCTTGGAGTTCATGCGGTGGGTAGAATACCATAGTTTCTTTTAATTAAATATTCAGATTATCTCTATAATGTTTAAATTTTATTTTTGCATCAACTTAGACAATTGGTGGAACAGTAATGATTGTTTTGATGGCTCCAATGGAACTGACCTTCAAAAGTTTACAAGGGAACATAATGAAAGCTCCCACAATACACTCAATGGCAGCTTTCATCATACAACACCAGTTGAAGAATTCTGGGAGTAAGTTGAATATTTTTTATTTATCATTAAAGCTATGAATACGGTTTAATTTTTAATTAATACTAGAACGTTATGATAAATAAAAGTCAAAAGGTATAAAAATTGTTGTAATAATATAAACGCCTAGCTGGAGTCTTTTTAGAAACTTCAATAATAAAAATAAATTCATGGTTTGTAGAAAGACTAAATTGATGAATAAAGTTTCTGAATAAAAAAAAGGTTTAGATATAGAAATGCTAATAATTTATCAGAATGTTCTTTTAAATTCAAGTGAAATAAATTCTGAATAGAATTTTGATTGCTGTTTGCTGATTGTAGCTCCAATGTAAATAATTTTCAAAAACTACTATGATTGAACATAATAGCTAAATTTTTATCAGGATGACGTAATAATAGATGATGATGAATCTATTAAATATCGTTTTTCCAGAAAGTGGAATGAAATGGAATAAACTGAATGAAAACTGCTTGATCATTGTTATGAACGAACTTATATAGTTATAAAAAGCAAAAATACCCCAATTATGATCCCTAAATGTACCGGGAAAATACTTTTCTATTCATTCAAGGCAAAAATATTATAATAAATTATTTTGAATTGATTACGTAATATACAAACGTTAATTTATATTACTTTTTCTGTTTTTAGACGCCGAGTTTTGGGAATTACAAGTGGAATCGAGGATCTTGGAGGAATGCAATGGGAACTATTAGGCTGCCTGGTTCTTGGCTGGTTGCTGGTTTATTTCATCATTAGACGTGGTCTTCACCAGAGCGGTAAGATCATCTGGTTTTCAGCCTTGTTCCCGTACGTGGTGCTTTTCATTCTTTTGGGAAGAGCGGTGACCTTGGACGGTGCGGATACTGGTCTGCTGTATTACGTGACACCAAGATGGGAGGAGCTGAAAAACCCAGGGCCATGGATTGATGGAGCCACCCAGATTTTCTTTGCCTACAGCATTGGTACAGGTGCCTTACCTGCTCTTGGATCCTACAATAAATTTCATCATAACTGTTATAAGTAAGTTAATTACTTTATCATCAATTTACCTTGATAAGTTTAATCAAATTAAATATTAAAGTTACGAATAAAGTGATGAAAACTCGGTCATTGATAATTAATTCATGAAAACAGTAATTACACCATAAATTCTTATCCATAGGGATGCTTTGATAACCTGTGTTGTCAATACATTGACATGTCTACTTGCTGGATGTGTTACTTTTTCTATCCTGGGTCATATTGCCTTGGAACAAGGTACTCAAGTATCAGATGTAGTCAAAAGTGGACCAGGATTGGTGTTTCTTACATATCCTGAAGTTGTTCTTAAACTTGTTGGTGCTCCTGTGTGGGCAATAATTTTCTTCATCATGTTAATTGTAAGTATTGATAAACTGAGTTAATCATTTCATCAATAGAAATAATTAATTCTACAATTTATAAAATGATAGTGCTATTCGAGCTTTTTTTTAGATATTTTAAATTCTAGGTTATATAAGAGAGTTGATTGCAATAGAGTTATATTCAATAAATTTACAATAATATGCTATTATGCGAATAATTGGTACTCTGAGTAAAAAGATATTCCAAGTAACATCTGATGCATACTAATAATCTTGATAAAATTCAGATTATTGATTTTCAACGATTCATTTTTGAACTCAATGCTGAGATTTTTCTAAAAGTGTTTTCAAGCATATTTTAAATTCTATGATTTAAATATTGAAGTACTGACATTTATTTATTTATTTTTTTTAAAATGAACTTGGTTTTAAATAAATAAAATATTGGTTCTCAAAACCCATTTCAATAGAGATAATTCGTAACAACATTCCACATACGATTACTAATGTATTTACATTTCATTTCTACAAAAGAAAAATTATTCGAAAAGAAAATGAAAACTTGGAAATTAGAGTTCTCAAGTTGACATTAAATTATAAGTTGGCTTAATACCAATCACATTCTGTTTTTCTTGAAAACTCATACTAATTGCAAACTATCTTAATCAACAGATCTTGGGAATCGACAGTGAATTTTGCATAGTGGAGTCTTTCATCACCGGTGTTGTGGATAATTGGCCTGATACTTTACGACCTCATCGTAACAAGTTTACAATAGCCATTTGCACACTCATGTTCTTACTTGGGATTCCCATGGTTACAAATGTAGGTTGAAACTTAGTCGCGTGTTTCATTGAGTTTTCGAACAGTTCGGAGTTTCTACATGTAAAACATATCCTATAAGAAACTTACTAAAAGACTCTAATTGCATTGTAGGGAGGAGTTTATATATTCCAGTTAATGGACTTTTATTCAGCAAGTGGTATGTCTATTTTATGGGTCTGTTTCTTCCAAACAATAGCAATATCTTGGATTTTCGGAGTACAAAAATTCTGTGATTGCGTTCATCAAATGATGGGAATTAAGCTCAATAAATTTTGGTATATTTGCTGGTTGGTTTTTGCACCAGTTATAATGGCAGTGAGTATTATTCATTTATTCCTATGACTTTATTTTATTTTTCATAAGAATTAAAAAAAATAATATTGAGAAAATCAAAACAACTCATCTGTTAATTGTGTTCGTCAATGTACTTTGTTCAGTTTAATGAAGTGTTTTCTTCAAATAAATTACAAGATGGACCTTCAATTAGTGGCTTTAAAATTCATTATCGAATTAAAAAAAGGTTGAGAGAATTTTTTTAATTTGTAAATCGAAATCAAGTAATTGTAAACCACTATTCATGAAGCAAACTAGATTTATTTGAAACGTCTGAACGAAACGGGCTATTTCTACTTACAATTAAATTTAATGACAGAAAAAAAGATTTGAATGGCAATATTTGCTTTTGAAAATTTTTTTAATAGTCATGTGTAACTTTTTAGATTACGAATAACATTTTGGGGAAAAAAATTTAATAAATTGAAAAAAGTGAAATGTATAATAAGCTTTTCTACAAATTGAATTACAATGTTGTGCTTTTGACATTATCTATTCAACAAATAAGAAAATAATCTAAAATTAGTCTACTGAATAATTTAAATATTATTTTTATCACTTCAATTATTTTCAGTTTATTTTCGTCTTCCAATGTGTCCAATATAAACCGCTAAAATACGGCAGTAAATATGAATATCCAACGTGGGCAGAGATTGTAGGTTTCTGTCTCAGTTTCTCTTCTATGATCTGGATACCTGCCTACGCTATTTATTACGTTGTAATAACACCAGGTTCCATTAAAGAGGTAATTAAACTTTACTTTATTACACCATTTTTTGTCTTCTATACAAACTATACTATAAAATGAAACTTGGTGGTTTCTTTATTTTTATTTGGAGCTTTTGTTCATTGTCGTTCTAATAATATTTGTCAAATAATGATATTAAATAATTAAGTCAATTGAAATGCTCAATTTAGAATTTTATTTTTTTTCAGAACATCTTAAAGGGGCTCAAACCAAATATCAAATCGAGAACTAAGCTACCAACAGGAGAAAAATCAGCAGTAATACCGATGTCAGAAAGCAGTGCTGGACTAATAACAAAAAACAGTAGTTTTCTAAGTCAAACATGATTCCAGTATTATTTTGTTAATAATCTTATCAAATAAATGTAGGTTTTAATGCATAGGTACTGTATAGAGTATTGTAAAAACAATCAGGAAGTGATATTTGTTATAAGTATTGCTCCATTAATTAATCAATTAATTAATTAATTGGTTAGTTAAGTGAATTAGAATTTACGTATTAATTAATTGACTGGTTTGATCATTGGTTAACTGTAAGTAAAGTTTATGGTTTTGAGTATTGATTTTACTCCGTTGTTTTGATAATTATGATGAAACTTCCCAAGAAACGAATATTTTTTGGACTTTTATTATTAAATGCAACAAAAAGAATATGTAAATAAAATTCTTCACTGAAAAGGGAATGTTAATATTAAAATTATTTTTGTTAAAAATTTTGTGCTATTTATTAATTAAATTTTGAATATCGTTTATAAGCAATTTGAATTAACTGAATATTTTAGGTAGTAGGAAAAAAATTTCAAGTAATATTGTAGTTTTTGCTTATTAATAATTTTTTGTTATTCAAAACTTATTGATGAATTAGAGATTTCTTATTTTTATTCTGTGATTATTTCCCTTTTCCTTGAGAGTGAAATTTATATAAAATATTGGTTGGCCTAAAGCACAAAAATTTATAAAAAAAAAATATAAAACTATTTTATGCTTAAAATCATTAATGCCTGTTGCACATTTAAAAAATTTCTTTTTTTAATTTTGTTGGTATTGATTATCGAAAATTCAATTGAAAGCTCAAATAATGGAGTAAATGTTGATTGGTTCCTATTATTATATTAAATACTTATGAAATTCAATTAATTATCAACAGCTTTGCAAATAGTATTAACTTTTCTGAAGATAATTTTTATTTCAATTAAATAATGCAATGATATTTTTTTCAATAACAAAAGCTTTTTTGCCAAATAGTTTTAAAATATTGGATATGTGATGGAATAAAACAATAAAATATTGTCAACTGGATAAATCGAAAAAGGTTTTAATGTTTGTACATCAACGATAATATTATTTATATTAAATTGTAACGAAAATCATAAATAATGTAGTAACTTCAGATAAAAAAATATATGAACATCTTTATGACTTATAAAATGTGTATTTACTTTTTTAACTCATAAAGTTTAAGTTTTAATTACTCTGACATCAAAAATTATTTTAGTTTATGGTTCAATCCCATTTGTAAATTTATTGTGAAGAGTTAAATTGTTATTAAAATACCCTTAATTGTTAACTTTTATCAGACGTTTATGAAGTAAATGAAAATTGTTAATTCAAATCGAAGCTTGAAAAAAAAATAATCAATTTTATTTGATAATTTATTAAATGATAGAAATATTTAATTTAAGAAATATTTTGAGATCATAAAACAAGACAAATGGAAAAATGATTGTAAATAACCAAAGCTTTTTCAAGTACTTTTTTTTTATTTATAACGACGTTACCTTTATACAATTCCTTATTTATTTAAAAGCTCATGCTACACAAGACTAAATTAGAAATAAATAAAAGATGAAAGAATATTATACCAAGTGAAAAAATTTTCTATTAATTAAAAATAATTATGAAACTTTATCCGTTCAAAGGTTTAACTTTTGTTTTTTTTACCTTAAATTATTAACAACATAATAAAAAAAGTCATAATGAAGAAAAAAATTCAAGAAAAAAAGTTTTTTTTTCACTTAAAATTTTCTATTGTTTTACTTCTAATAATTAAAAAATTTCACGAAATAAAAACTGTGTTAGCCAGGAATAAAAATAAGTGGATTATCAATCATCCATTTCGTGTAGTTTGTTAAGTAGCTTATTTTTATATTATTATTTATTATTTTGTTGGCTATTTGTTTTTTTTTATGATGTAAAATAATACCAGGATACAGGATAATATTAAGTAGACACCTATACGACCCGAATCGGTTGCCATGACAACGCCCCATTAGATCTTCAATGCCCGGATGTCGAACAAAGTTCCTCACCCTCTTTCTCTGTGAGTAATAAAAAAACAATACATGTTGAACATCACAGCCTAACTTATCGAAACAAAACATTTATTTATAATAAATTTATTATTACCACTTTTTTTTGCTATTTTTTCTTTTCTACTTCAACTTGGAGGAATCAATAGCATTCAGAGATATCTGGTATTGAATCTTGCATTATCATTTCGATCAAGAAACACAATATATACTAACTGCCATTTTTCTGTTATCAAATAACTTTTCAAATCTATCTGAAATTTTTGAATAAATTTTCTCCTAATTTTAACGTACATAAACATTGAAAAATATCTTCTTTTTATGTAGTTTATGTCACGTTTTTGATTTTAAAATGTCACTGATCAATTTTTCTATCACAACTATTTTTTTCCACATCAATAAATAGAAAAAGAGTTTTTAAAAATCATGAGATAACTTTTATATCTATAGAAAACTTATTTACATAAATATTCATGCAATTATATGATGGTATAATTAATACCTTAAAATAATTTATTTGCATAATATTATAAAGGACAATATTTGTGCACTTTCACAAAGCTGTTTTTTGTTATGATTGCCATCATCAACCTAATTTTATATTTATCATAGAAAAACACTCACAATAATTTACAGAAATTATTGTTTTCATTAATTAACAGTGAAAAGTGTATAATTGATAATGTAATAATAATAATAATAATTAAATGCATTTTATTGACAATGTTATGAATAAATAAGATAATGTTACATATTATTGCAATAAGTTTAAATATTATTATTATCATGTTGGTTTCAACGAATATAAATGATAGAAATTATGTTAGCAAAGAAAAAAAAAAGTAAAAATTTATGAAATAACTAGAGTAAAAAGAACAGTCACAGAAAAGGGGTTTTTGAAGTTTATCTTATCTTTAGTTAGCCTAACTACATACATTTTTTTTCTCATGCCTCTACCATTTCATAGCTACATCCTTCGTAACCAGCAATCTACAAAACCATAAATTCTTACAAAACTTTCAATACAGTCTAGTCTAGAATTCACGCCTCTAGGTATTCGTCTCACTTGCAATATTCGCTTCAAATATATTCCACTTAATGTTTATACAAAAATTGCATTGGCTCTTTTTTTATAACGATGTTCATCTAAAATTCAGTTCTACTTTTGTTTATTAGCCACTTCTACTTTGGCAAATTTTCCGGTCATGTTCTTAAATCTCTAAATTCAAATTAACGTCGACCAATTTTTATAAATCTACTCCAAAAGGTGGCCTTTTTCGTTTTTAATGTTGAAATAAAGCTTGACTTTTTTTTACGAGGGTTTTTGAATATTTATGAGAGTCTATTTGTCTACCATGTGGTTTCCTTTTATCAGAAAGTAAATCCCACTTTGCAGAGAATAAGAAGCAAGATTATATAGTTATTAAATTGCAAAGTTTGAGTAAGTTGTTCTAAAATTAATCTATTTACTGTAAACAACGTTATTTAATTATGTAAGTAAAGGAAATGAATAAATTTTATTAAAAAAATCAGTACAAAAGAAATTCAATGTTCAATAAAATCATATTGTTTGCTGCCAATAAGAGAGAAAAAATATTAAATTTCAATCTTGAGTTGTTGATTTGAGGACTTTATTTTGAAAAGAAAAAAAAATTGTTATTCATTTATAGAAAAAGGAATTGTTGGAAAAATATTCTTTAAATTTTAGAAATTTTATTTATTTATTTTTTTTTAAAAAAAAAGGAATTATCTAGGAAAAAGGATTTCTAATAGAGAAGAATTATTCGAATGGAAAGATGTAAGATAACTCTATTTATTCAGGTTATCTTTAATCTTTGACAAGACTAATTATTTTAACCCTCTGGCAAATTGAAAAAAAATATGATTACAATTCTGGAGTATTCTGCTTTAAAATGACAAATTGATTTTCAGAATTCATTTTTTAGATTTATTAAAATTTCATGTTGACTTAAAAAAAAAAAATTACATTCCTTCATTACAAATTTTATCAAAAATTAAATATAAATATTTGTGAGTAATTTTAAATTTATCATAACTGAAAATAAATGTTATAAAATCTAGAAAAGGTTTAAAGAGTTATTAAGAAATCCGATTACATGAAAACCCCATTCTCTAAAAGCCTCTAGTAATGATGAAATAGAAGAAAATTGAAATAAAAGTATTCTCTTTAAAAAATAAAATACCTCTATCTCCAGAACAATCTTTAAAGAATTATAAATAAATTCCTTTACTTCCAACTAATCTAAAAATTTTAATGAACAAAAAAAAAAATGAAAATGTATTAAATAAACATGAGATTGTTGTTATTCTTAAAGCAGTTTTTCATTTCGTGACAACACTACGAATAGTGAGTTAAACTGTTGCATGGTTATTAAAGCAAAAGAAGTTTGGAACGAGGATTATGTAGGGGAAGAAATGTTGAAGGTGAGTTATAAAGCAAAGAGTAAAAGAAAGGATAAGAAATAGTATTGACCCAGTTGGTAACATTTGCAGGGTCGGTGTACAAACTTACCCTGTCAACAGCATTATTCACATTCATGTGTACACGCAATGTCAAATGAGCATTTAGTTATGATGATTAACGTCTCTATAAGCAAAGGAATCATATTACAACATCGTTCATATCATCATCATAATTCAATAGTGTAACATAACTTGAATTTAATCTTCTTTGTTCAATCAAAAATAAATTTCTCCCATACTCTTCACATATTAATCGAGCTATTTTCACATACTGAAGACATTTCAGCAAACAAGAGATAAATGAAAAAAAAAATCAACAGATATTTACCAAGTTTCTATTGAGAAAATACAGAAGGGCAAATGTTTAGGAGATTGGGAAGGGGGTGGAGGTGAAAAAAGGTTGGATAGTTGACTCAGGTGTTCCTATACTTGAAGTAAAATAAAAAAAAATGAGAAAAGAAGGGATGCAACCTGCAGGGCGCAGGTGCGAGAATGAAAAGCGCCGGCGCCAAAGACTTCCCCCACATTCAAGATGTACAAGGCAAATCGTTTGTATGATAAAGAGGGTGAGAACTTGAGACAGAGACCTGTACATGTACGATCACGAGATCGTGCGCCTTTCCATCATAACCGGTAGTCGCCGATTCGCTCGTCGTTAAGTCTCATATCAGAGACACGTTACTTCCTGGGTATATAAAGAAAAAACCAACATTGATATTGAGAGACTAAAAAAACGTTTTAAAACAGGTCAGTTGGACACTAAATCAAAATCAATTGCACTGTGAATTTTTGTGTCTCGCGCGTGATATAAATATTAGCATTTAATCTTGTAATAATTTACCTTACACAACAGTATCGAAAAGTCTACGTTGGAATAGTGAATGAATTCATCAAACTGAGAGAGTAATACTAATTAATTCACGTCAAAGTAACGAAGCATTTATGTCATTCATCAATTATCTTATTTACTTTTTTTTCTTTCGGTTATTTAATTATAAATAGTGATATGCTATTTTTTATC